TGCAGCTCTCTTTTGCCCATGATGACAATGACTTTTCACTCTGTGCTTCTTTTTCTCAAAGACACTCTAACATACCTTCTCTAACTAATCTTTTTTTCAGTCTCATTCACATGAAATTTTCTTCCTGAGTATCACTACCAAGGTAACCTTTGTAATATCCAGTAACAAAATGTGTTTTGCTTAAAACAATTCAGTATCTTGCATTAAGTTCTATTGATATTCTTTGATAGTTCAGATTTTGTTCCAAGAGATTGGCTTGCATGCACCATTTTCAACAACCTTGGCCCATTCACAAAAATGAATAAAATATTCACTAATGACAGCCATAAACATCTTTCTCTCATTTTTGAGACCCCTGTAGAGAGTACGGTTACACGTTCACCCTAAAACCACTTTCCTAAGAACACCTTTAGAATTATTTTCTACCACTTTACCCTTACACACCAGTGCCTTTATGATAATTTTTTTTACTCTTTTAGAAGTATGTCCCACCAAACCCTTAGTCTATTAGAGGCTTCCCAAGTAAGCAAGACTTCTAATAGCCTCATCTCTTCATGTTCTTATTATATGTAGCATACTTCTTTCGTTGAACTCATACTTTCTACACTGTCATTATGCCTCAAGACTGCTTAAGGAAAAGTATTTCCTTAGTAGTTCTTATTTTGTCTACTTACTATATTCAAGCCACTTTACAGATTAACATTCTATGCTCCTTCTATAACTCCCCCCCCATTAATAGCTGTTAACACCATCTTTTTATACAACTCAAGTGGTATGTTGAATGGTTTTATCCACTAACTTGTAGAAACCATCATAGAAATCATCATCTAGATAATCATTTCTATTCCAAAGCAAAAAATCAATATCTGGCATGAAATCCATATTGAAAATATGTACCCATAACTATAACCCACAGGCTATAGTCAAAATCAATTTGCCACTATTGTGAATTGTTTTTGTCATGTTATTACACTTTCCCTTAACTCATATTATGCTTGTTTTATAAATAATGATGTTACTTGATATTAGATACAGTTGTTTGCCCTAGAGGCCACCCTGATAACTTTTGTCAATTCATTCTTCCTACCTGTTCATGTCTTCAGAATTCTTGTAACTATGAATAAACCAATTAGAAAAAATGATAATACACTTCCCACAATTAAATGGAATGAAATACAAAGTATTTACATTTTCCTATATCTAGAATCAAGGATAATGATACTATCAAATGTTAATATTTATCAGATTTTGATCAACAGAACTTAGTATGTTATATTTATTCCTTTTTATATCTTACAATATTGAATGTTTTCCACAGGTTTGCTATCATATATACTATGACTTTTACTAATTACCTGTAAAGATCCTTGCACATTTGGAGAATTTTTAATGTAATTGTTTTTGTTCTTCCAAGTAAAGTGTAATTAAAGCTTTCCTGTGATATTTATTGCATTTTTCCAGTTTTAAGATGTTGTAAGCATCCTTATTGAGAGTTTATAATATACACTTAACATGCCTTTTGGAATCTAAAATCTTTTAGCAATATATTATCATGCATTTGTTTTTATTTTTATTTCAAGATAAATTAACCAATAACTTTTATGTTAGTGTATTTAGTGCTTTAAAGATCGAAAAACTCAGTCCATCAACATACTATAACAACAAAGTCTAATTCTGTACTGGAATAAAATTTGAGAGAGAGAGAGAGACAGATTTATTTTTAAATATCTTTTTTCCTCTATGATCAGAGGGATTTTAAATTACTTTTTAGTATCTAGTAAAGTCAGTGTCTCACTGTAGTCACCATTTCTATTTTAGAGGAAGATTCCTTAACACTTTTCTTCTATATGTTCATTCTAATGAGCTTTAGAATGATTTTCTCAGACTTCATATGAATAAGATTTAATAGGGTTTAAGGCAGGATTATGTGTACCTATTAAGAAATTCCATTCTAAATACTGAGTTTCTATTTGAAACAATAAAGCAAGTTTATCATTAATTTTATTTTACGTGTCAGTATAAAATCAACTTCTGCAAATTTCTTGTATGTTGCTATTGGGTAAAAATTATTTCTTCTATTGTATTTTCTGTCTGAAAACAAACAGAATTAACAATACACTAGTGCAAAACTCAAACATGAATATACTCTACATGTACTTTATTTAGATGTGTTTATATACAGCATATATAATATATAATGTATACAATTATATATATAATTTATATATTATAGAGATTATATGAACATATAATCATGATCTAAATTATATAATATAGATTCTATATCCATATAATATCGGTATTGCATATTATATATAATCATTCATAGTCAATGAATGTATGTTGTATTGTAAAGAATTCTAAAAAACAGTTTTAGGTCTTGTGTAAACAGTTCTTGTTTTTAAAAAATACAATAAATAAAAATTTACCTACCAATACAATAATCAGAACCCTACAGAATGATAACTTGTGCTATGACAGAAAAGCACAGAATGACAACAAATTCATAAGAAGAAAATATCTCAGCTGGGTTGCAATGAGGAATAAAGGGCTAAGAAGGATCTTGTGGGGATATGGTGTTGGGCTGAGCTCTAAAAGGTGAGAACAAGTAGACTAAAGGAATGAAATATATGTAAAAAATAGCCTTTGAGAGTACAGGGAATTGAGTACTTTTTAGGGAAATGGCTAAAATGTCACATGAGTTGCCAGGAAGACAGTAGCATAATGAAGGCTGAGGACTCAGGTTATTTAAGTACTTTCTAGTTTGAGGAATTTTGTCTTCAGATGCCATCAGATTAAGAGAGTGTATACATTGTATTGTCACGCTGGGGAGAGTAATAAATGACATATTCAGAATTACATTTGAATCTCCCTATTGTGGCTACATAGGAAGAAGGGGTCAGAACAGGGCAAGAATAGAAGCCTGAAAAAATGTTTGAAAACGATATCACAAAACAATCCAGGTGTGAGAAAATAATTTAATTATGTGCTTTAAGATAGTTGCTATGGAAGTGGAAATAAAGCCCTAATATGAGTTGCTTTCTAAGTTGCTAAATTTTTCTTAGAAAAAATGGAGAGTAGGACTGAAAATCTTTAGCAGTGACTCTAGCATAATGAAAGAGAAAAAGCTAAGGTGAACCCATTGCAACAATAAGATGTACAAGATGTTATGTCGAAAATGAACTTTACAACTTTGGTGTGGGGGCAGGGAGAGGTGGGGGTGGAGATGGGAAGGGATGGGAAGGGGAAACAAAGGAGGAGGCAACAATGCTTGGGAAGAAATGCACTCATTACCTTGCCCATGTAATTGTAACCTCTCTGTGTGGTATTTTCACAATAAAAAAATAAATAAATAACCAAGATAATAGTTCCATAATAAATTGATAAATTATAAAAAGAAAAAGCTAACAAGAGTAACTCTGGTTTCCAGTATATAAATGAATTAGAGATGAGGATTAGTGATTGTCTTCTGAGATATTGAACCTAGGATTTCTTTTAGATAGAAATATCATGAATTTGTTTCAGAAGTATACATATTTTTTAAACCCAAATATTGTTAGAGATTTAAATGTTTAAGTAAAGTGTTTCTCCAGTTCCAAGAGGAAGTTGGAACATGTGAAATTGTTGCTACAGATAGTAATTAAGGTGATGAGTAAGGGCAGGTGATGAGAGTGTATTGAGTTTCGAAGTGAAGAGAATCACATTGAGCCACAGGACTAACAACCCTTATATAACTGGAGAATGCATTGAGAAAGGGCGTTGGAAAACTACTTTTGAGGGAGTCAACCATTTTTTTAAACTCACCTTAAAGGCATACCCCAGTCTTTTCTATAAGTTTTTGGCTTATTTCTCACCGGACATGGTTTGGTTTGGACATGGACCTCAGCCCTTACATTAACAGTTAAGGGTTATTTTTATTGAATCCTGAAATCTTCAAAATTTCAAAACAAAAAAGAATGTCGAGATGTTCTTATTCACCAGGGGATGAGGAGTTTGAGGATGATAGCTCTGTTCATTGTTTTATTCACATATTTTCAGGGTTCCTGAAATAGACATTTTTGAGAAGGCAGTACTATTTTTTTCTTTTTATAATTTCCTGGAATTTTTAAGTTTTCAACAGATATTGAATCTGACCCAATTTCTCCATTTTGTACTTTTTCTGGATCATTTGCACATTCCTTACTATTGTTGTTTCTTTTACTTCATTTATGTGATTAGGGACCTTTTTTGTGTTTTAAATAAATTAATAATAAATTAACACCTCTATTCTCCCCAATTGTAGACTAGTTCACTTTCAATTATGTGGGGTTTAATGTACTTTTGGGGCACATAAAAACAAATTCATTAGTTTAATGGGACCTTATAGACCTGGCATGTAGGTAAGAAATCTGAAGGCTTTCGAATGGGGTCTGTAATCTTTTATGTAAAGCATTTCTCAGCTCTACATTAAAAGTAACAATTGATATTTCTGTATATCAAAATTATTAGCTTTTTTTACTTAATAGAATCACCACCTACTTTGGCTCATCTATCTGAAAAATAAGAAAACTCATAAATATCTTCTGCTACATAGTCAAATTCAAGATGTAGAGCTTAAGTAATCAAGTCAGGACAAGTAATTATAAATATAAAATATAAATAAATATAAAATGAACATTAAAAATAAACTGAAAATATTTAGGCTAAACTCATATGTGAAATATTTTAGATGTATTTTATTAACAGTTTATTCAACCATAGAAAATTCACTTCTTGTATTTATTGTCAATAATGCTATTCTGATATTTTAAAGGTTAGATTATGACAACATTGTCATATTGTCTTTGTGAGTAATGCCATAGAATGATATTCATTTGTAAGCCACTATGTACATGATGTAAAGTATTTGCTCCATGTCTGAAAAATACGCTAAGCAAAATTTACCGCAGCAATCTATCTTTCAGTACGGGGAAATAAACAGACCTAATAAGTTCAAAGGAATTCCACAAAACAAAAACCACTGACATGAGAAAAGCGTGAATTTAATTTTATGCTTTGCTGAGATACATGACCAAAATTGTGTGCATGGCTTGTCCTTGGAGATGGCCCCAGCTGTTTATTTTTAAATTGAAAAAAAAAACACAACAATGGAGCCCACAAATGCAAGTAAGAATAAAAAGTCTCTTGAGACACAAGGGGCCCTACAAGTTCTTGTTTAGGAAACATGCAGTTTTACAAGGCATTGCAGATACAATATGACAGGAGGACAAGGGAAAGGCACAGAAACAATGCACTTTCCTTCAGAAATGGGAGTCTAACAGCTCGGTTTTCACAAAATGGTATTGATGAAACAATCTTTATTTTTATAGACTTTTATAGAGAGAATTTTAGCACCATCATTAAAGGTAAAATAAAAATACTTTTTAGCCCTGCCTATCTCCAGTCTTGGAATAATTACAGAAGCATAGCACCTTTCAGTATCTAAAATATAAACAAGAATAGAAAGTCCATCCCAGCTTCCAGAGATGAGGTAGCTCATGCTAAGAAATGTTGGGTTATTTTTCCTATAAAAGTTCCAAGGCCAAATAGACTAATTCCAATAATCACATTTGAATAGTCAACTCCACAATGTTTCTCTAGATCTTTTCTTCATTACAGGCTTCAGTATAACGATTCTGTACAGATGGATGAGTCTCAACTTGGGTCTTTGTATGTGTCAATTAATTTGTATTCAATATCCCCTTAAGTAAGAAAATAAAAATGTGTTAAGTGGCGTGTGTGTGTGTGTGTGTGTGTGTGTGTGTGTGTGTGTGTGTGTGTTACTTCCATCTGTTTTGATAGACTGTATCAAAAGGGACAAAGGCACTATTCAATTTATCAGCCCTTAACGAAGTTTCAGAATTTGAAGAAATAAATGAGTTAAATTTTGTACTGATTTAAGATCATGAGAAGCTGAAATATTTTTTAAGAATTTCTGTAATAGGAATACAGTAATAAAGACATGTATGTGGGTTTCTATCACAAGATTCAATTATTTTGATTCATTTTTCATTGATAATCTGACACAAAAGAGCATTACTTGCTATTTCTTCAAATGACAGCCAAGCAAAAAAAAACATGTGTCATGGTTTTTGTATACCCCACTCATTAAGCTACCCGCCAGGAAGAAGAATTTCCTCATTAAATACTAAGCAACTCTTTCATTACATTGAAATAAATTGAAGAAAAGAGACATTTATTTAATCAGTTTACTTTTCTTTTAAGGTGGTCATTGTCATTGATCAGCTTAAACCTAAACTGCTGTATTCAAAAATACTTTAAGTCAATTAAAACTTGAGGATTGTAAGTAAAATAAATATTCTGAAGGAAAAGGAGGCCAGGCACTTCAGACTATATGTACAATGCTGATGAGGGATCAGCCATTACTTCAAGAGTCTCAGGATCAACTTCAAACGGTCAGTTTTTGTGAAGGGTGATGGTTGTCATTGATTGTGGTGCTCATTGTTGGTGTTTCTGGGCTTGTGTTACATGAAACAAACTGGCCCAATTTCAACACCAAATTCCTGGTCTGTACTGCCAATATCCACGGGGGCAAGATCTATAATGGGTAATCGTGCCACATTCTGGGTTCTGTATTCAAAGACAGTCTTGCCCACATTTCCATTTCGCTTCTGTAATTAAATGGTGCAATAGGTTAATAGTATATACAACTTTTCCCCTCAAAGTTTTCCATTTTAGACAGAAACTTCCCCAGATAACTTTTACAATGTAAAAGCAAAATCTTTTACAGCATTGTTTAAGTATCAGACAACTGGTTATATAAAATGAGGAGCTAGCCTACATTGCTGACATTTCTTCCTTCTTCCTTTTTTTGTTGCTACCCAAAAATCAGTAACAATATATAAAACCTTCTTTTGGTTTTTCACAAAAGAATCTATAATTCATCATTCAACATATATATGCATATGTATATATACATACATACATGCATGTATGTAAACAGATATGTGTATATACATGTATGCATGTATGTGTATGTATATATATACTATCATACAAGTGGGAAGAGGTAGAAAACAATGACTGGTCATACTCTTTAGAATCACAGTTTTGTATACTTGGAACTGAGTTACTGCATGAAAAACCAAACAGAATTGAAAAATAGGTGGATCCAATACTAGGAGTCCAGTTCTTTCTTTACTGTTTTGCATGAATACTTCTAACATTCTTTGTGTACTAATAGATGTTCAAGTTCACCCTAAAGAACAGCTATGAACAAAATGCCATGACAGTAATTTTAATACAAGTGAATTATTTTTTCTCAACTAGATCAATGTAGTTCAAATAGTACTTACAGAGCAAGTATCATGAAGAACTGTATATCTAAATCTAATGTTCCCTTCTCCTTTGATTTCCAAGTCATTTGACCCTTTAAGGACTACAGCTTTCTTGAGGCTCTTGGTTTGATCATCCATGTATCCTATGCTGTTTTTGCAGATGTAAGTAATGTTCTGGGAGGCTTCTTTTGATAAAAGGCGCAAGAAGGTCATCTGAGTAACAGCTGTGTTAGGTGACTGATAATCTCCATAAGTAAACTAAAAAGGAAACAAAAAACAACAACAAAGTCTTTGTTAAAATAATCTGAAGGGTCTCATATGCCTCACAGATATGTGACAGATACATTGAGTTTAGCCGAATCATTCTTGAGAGTATTACTTTGTTGTTATAAAGTAAACTATTCTACCTATACATATAACACATATAAAAATCTTTGGAATTCTATGCCTCCATCAGAAAGAATGACACCGTCTCATTTGTTAGGAAATGGCAAGACTTGGAAAAAAATTATATTAAGTGAAGTAACCCAGACCCAAAGAAACATAGGTCCTATAGTTTCCCTTATTTGCAATAACTAGTATACATTTAGGATAGTCTTACCAGACAAGAACAAAAGGTCAAAAGGTATGTACACATGACCATATAATCTGATGCTAAGCGAAATGAACTCCAAGATAGGGACACAAGAGGTTTTTTTCCTTTGTTACTGTTGTTTTTAATGTTCTTTGTGATTTTTTTTGTTTCTTTTGTATGTTCTTCCCCCCTGGTATAACCCCTGTTATCACTATTTGATTCTGGTGCCCTGCATCTTGTATACATTTTCTAATTTGGGGAAGGGAAGGGAAATAACAAAATGCTGAAACAAGGATATAGGTTGACCCATTGTAACAATGAGCTGTAGAAGACACTATGTTGAAATGAACTTTACAACTTGCGGAGTGGGGTAGAGGGAGGAAGGTGTTAGGGAGTTGAGGGGAAAGGATAGTAGGGGAAAAACAAAGGAGGGGGTAACAATGCTTGATAGGAAATGTATTCATTACCTTACGCATGTAACTATAACCCCTCTGTACAGTATCTTTACAATAAAAAAAATTTTAACCACAATTTTTTTAAATCCTGAAATGTCTGGATTTTCACAAGTAAGAATCTCTCCTTACTACCCCAAATGAGGTGTTAAAACCAATAACAATAATCATTTTACAAAGGAAGATTAGATATTTTAAAAACTGCTTTGATTATGTATAAAACATTTATAACACATTTACCAACAATTTGAGTAAGAATTAGAAATTAATGGTTATGATAAATTATTGTGACCCAGTGTCACATATTCTTAAGAAACATGAATTATATTTTTTTGATTAGCTCAAGCAAATTGCCAGTAATTTCCTGTAGGCATTTGGTTATTTGTTTTCAATGCTGAGCTTTGTTTTCAATATTCTCAATTGAACTTGCTACAGGAAAAAATCGTAGTAGTTAAATTTTTTTCCTTGCTCATTAAATAATGGCAGATTCGTTCATATGTTGCACTGGTACTTCATGTTTTCACATAATCTTGAATGTAAGCATGGATTCTGGTGGAAGGTGAGGAGCAGAGGTGATAAGAAGATGTTAGAGTTAGGCTGCTACCACAAGATCTGAGATGAAATAGACATAGTGTACTATAAAAGATCAAGGACTGATGGAATTCTAAATTTTTCATCATGATAGAACTCAGAACAACAGGAGTGCAATCCATGTAATTATAGGTTTCAATAAAAATAAACATTTACAGAAATTTTTTCCATTTTTGACACATCTAATTCTTACCACTTAGCACGTGTTGTATATTACTCTAAACACACTGACACGGAGACAGTGGGGTCTGTATTATCACACTTAGTTCACACTAGCAAAACTGAGGCTCTGAGAAGTTTTCTTAATTTATAAGGCCCAATGTCAGTAAATGATTCTGCTGACAGTTTTCCAGCCTCCTAATAACTGTCTTTCGATTCTGTTAAGACCTCTGTAATTACACTACACAGTGAGGACCAAAACATTAGAAAACTAAAATTAATATAGTTTTCTGTATTTCATCAATGGGAAAATTATAATTCAAAATTTATGATAATCAGCCAGGTGCCAGTGGCTTAAGCCTATAATCCTAGCTACTAAGGAGGCTGAAATTTGAGACTCTGGTTCAAAGACAGTCCCAGTAGGAAACTCCTTGAGACTCTTATCTCCAATAAACTACTCCAAAAAGCCAGAAGTGGTGTTGTGGCTCAAGAGGTAGAGCTCTCACCTTGAGCAAAAGAAGCTCAGGGACAGTGCCCAGGCCCAGAGTTCAAGCCTCAGGATGGAAAAATAAAAAGCAAAAAAAGATGATAATCTCATAGTAAAATTTCATTTAAGTAATGTCTTTGCAATTCTAATTAATGAAAATATATCACAAACAATGAAATATACTTCATTAAAAGTAACAGCATACCTCTCTATAAAATGCTAAAAATTTACAACAGATAATATAAAATATAGAATACAATTTTGTGTAGGCATATTAAATTACCTGAGATCCTCTGTTCATATCAAGACCATACCAAACAGGTTTATTGTCAGGAGATTTGCTGGCCCACCAGGTTTTACGTGGGATACTGGATGGGTTTGCTGAGATACAGGTTTCTCCTGTGTCCATGTTGCAGTAAACTTTGATTGCATCTTCAGCAGAACCCTGGTTAGGATCAATCCAGTATTCACCTGTTTTCCAAAATCAAAGGAATAAATAAATTGAGATTACCTTCAACATTATTATTAGTCTCCAAAATAACAGAGATGTTTTTATTATATTTATACTATTATAATTGATTTCATTTGATTGATTTCATATTATACTATGATAACAATCAACTATGAACTCACTGATTTAGGGCACATTTTAAAGAGCATATGATATCCTTTAAGGAAAAAGTAACTGTTAGGAACAGAGGGGCTTTCTACATGTTAGATGTTGTTGTAAGGCATTTTGTCAAACCATACACTTAAGGCTCTAAACATCAGTGTGATGGAAATGTTATTATCCTTATTTTATTAGGAAAGAAATGGTATCAAAAGAGATTGGTTTTGTCAAAATACATATGTTCCCATTAAATTTTTAAAGCCAAAGATTTAAAAAATATAATCATAATATAATAAGTCATTAATCAACACTATAATTAAATATATGAACTACAACAAGAAGCTATGAATCATCTCTAAAGTTAATATTTTCATATATAGATATATATACATATGAAAATTTGAAGCAAGCTATACCAAGGCATTGCTTGGTATGGGACACATGGACAAATAAACATATTTGTTCATGTTTAGGCCTATGTGCATGTTTGAGTATAAATACAGGGAAACATATAAATATTAAATTTTAAATAAAATGAGAGTAATGGAAGGTATAGAGTTTAGAATAAAATTGTCTTTTCTTCAGAGATAACATTTGTAGCTCTCCCTGTCAATGTCATTTCAAAGTTAATTGACACTCTTAAACATTTCACAGGTTTTTTTTCTATGGTGTAGCATTCCTCTTTTCTAGGTCTTATTAATTATTCAAAATGGCAAAATAGGGCAAACTGTACATGCCAGTCATGCAACTGTGGTAGAAGCACTATTTCTAAGTACCTTAGAATCTCACGATAAAATCATGCTGCTGGCAAAAGATTCCAAAGGAGCAATCATAGACATATAAACTACATTAAAGGAATTCCATGTCCAAATAAATCTGGATAGTACTGTGTACTTAATTTGGCTCTCAATAATACAATAAATGTTATTTTGTTAAAACTGAGAATTCATGGGGGTAAAAAAATATATATGTTTAACCATGCTTCAGCAATTCTTTTCAAAATAGTTATCAACACAGAAATCTGTTACTCTGCAGAAACTACCGCTATTTTAGGACTTGTAGGTAAAGATGAAATTATATAGTTAATAGAATATTAATTACAGAACATGTCATCTCTCTCCATATTTTTCCATGTTAATTGACTCCACCACTAACCTATAAGCTCTGTGGCATGTTTACTCTCTTTCTTGTGTCTATAACTAAGTATAAAGCTAAAAAAATATTTTGGAATGCATTTAAAAACAATATAATCAGAAACAATGCAATTTGTTCCAATGGGTCCAAGTCTACTCACCACTCTGCTTCGTGGAATGGCAAAGCTTTAAGTCATCACAAGTCCGAGCTGGATGTTTCTTGGAGCCATCAGGGCTGCGCATGGTTTCAATCTGACTACTGAGTGATTTCAGGGTCGCATGGACTCCTGGATCGGTTTTGTTGGTGTCATCAGGAGCTGCCTGGTCTTCAGTAAACTCTGGAAGTGGATCTGGCATGTTCTCATCATAGTGGCCCATTATATCTCCAAGAGCAGCTGTAAGGTGTCCAGGGGGGCCCGGAGGTCCAGGTGGACCAGGCTCACCAGGAGGACCCTAATTGCAAAGAAATTGAAAGACTATTGAATATATTCTTTTATGTATTGGATTCCTGAACTTGTGATATTTGTATATATATACAATGTGACATTGGAAATGGAATGCAATCTCAGGATACTAGGGATCTTTCGGTAAGAAGATGGAGCTGGCCTGTTGAGGCACAGGATTAGAAAAATGGGAAATGATCCCTGTTGTTCAGGCAATGTGTCTGCAAGTCAGCATCTGTGATGAATAAAGAGTAAAGCACACAATATTTGCTTTGATGTCTAAACTAAAAATCCAATATACTTTATGTTAAGGCCAGGCATATATATTCATTCATATCAAAACTATTTGGAGCAGGGTAGCACTAAAATGTTCTAAAAGTAGGTATGGACGCAAGATGAACAAGGACTACAGTCATGATATGGGTGCTGCTTCTGAACAATACCAAGTCAACATCCACAAGAAACACCTGCAAGATTCCCTTTTTGAATCTCTAAATCCTAATCAAGGGGACACAACAGTCATTTTATTAGTTATAGTGCACATAAAAATTCTCCGTATTAAACAAAATTGAAAGAAATTCCTTTTAATCCTTTTATTGACTTAAATAAAGAGCTCTCCTGCCAAATGAGATAAATTATAAAAGTGGTAATGCATAGGAATTGCCTTCTGTGTCTCACAAGAACCCAGAAACTAGCTGGGTGCTGGTGGCTCATGCCTAGCTACTCAGGAGGCTGAGATCTGAGGACTGCAGTTCAAAACCAGCCTGGGCAGGAAAGTCCATGAGACTCTTACCTCCAATAAACTACTGAGAAAAAGCCAGAACTGGTGTTGTGGCTCAAATGGTAGAGTGCTAGCCTTGAGCACAGAGAGGCTCAGTGACAATGCCCAGCCCTGAGTTCAAGTCCCAAGACCAGAAAAAAAAAAAAAACCCAGCAACTTGGAAGAACTAGACAACAATCTAAAGAAATGCAGGCTCCACACCTCAAGAAGCAAGCACAGCCCTGAGATTCAACAGGCTGCATTTCTAACATGGGCTTGGCTACTTTTCTTCATGGCTCCAGACAAGTCATTTAACTTTTCATGTCAATGCTTTGTTATTCTCTCTCTCTCTCTCTCTCTCTCTCTCTCTCTCTTTCATCTTGACGATTTCATGCATTCTTTTTTTCTAATGTAAAGGGAAAATATTTTTTTATCTGTCAAATGCCAGTGAAACACAAAAAAAGACAGAAAAATAAGATTTCTATTCATAGAAAAAAAGAAGCACTCTTCTTGACAATAGGAAACATAAGCCTATTTACTATTTCCATAGTAAATAATAAAAATTTAGTATAATGGAGTTTCCACTGAGGAGCAAAGACAAAACAGAAGGTAAATCAGACCAGATATAGACCAAGAAGGAAGCAGAAGCTTATACACACATGTACACCAGTGCTCGCTCAGAGGAAAAACTGGGAGATGTATGAGTCTTTCTAGAAGTTGGAAAAGATACAGACTAATGGACTTGATAGCTTTATAATATCTTCACTTGAAGACTATTAGCAGTTTTCACTGAAATCTTTTGTGGACACTTACAACAGAGAAAAATTCAATCTCATATACTTCATTGTTTTCTAGCATTTATGAAGTAATAAAGAAACATCACAGGTATCTTTGTCATTGAATGCAAAACAACATTTGCATAATTATAAAAAGAACTTATATGAGAACTTATTAGTTGCTCTTATGGATATCATAAATCAAGGTTTGAGTATCTTCGGTTTCTATTTTATAGACTCTCCAGGTTAAAATGTTTGAAATAGTTACCTGCACAGACTAACTCTGTGTGACTCTTAGCAGAGTCCATTGAGTCTTTTGTATATCAGGCAACACAGATAGTATTGATGGGAAGCCAATCCACTGGCATCAATGAAATTTCTTGCATGCAATCTCTGTGACTTTACCTCTGGCCCTGCTTCTCCTACACTGCCCCGAACACCAGGTGGTCCAATTGGTCCAAGTGGCCCAGGGTTTCCTTCTTTGCCTGAGGGACCAACTGGACCTGGAGGACCCTGAAAGAAAATAAGATTGTTTTAGGTCTGGCGTAGAAATACTTTGCAATAATTTTGTTCATCAAAGAACTATTTGCATTGTATAGATTTAGTTATTACAATGATATCTTAAATTTCTTAATAACTAATAATGGTCAGGCAGTAATTCAAAACCTTCACAAACTCATCAAACATAAATCATTCATCAATCATGCACGGTCAGAGACCAAAACAGGTTAAAATTGTAATAGGCTAATCTCCTAATTCATTAGTAACAATTATTTAAGCAAATCACAAATAAGTTCAATTACTTTAGAATAAGGACAAAATTTGAAGCATTGGTTAGAAGTGAACTTCAAGTACTTACCTCACAAAATAAAACCACATAATAATAATTGTCTCTACTATTTTCTATTCTATATATGAAGTATTATCTTTAGATATATATTTCATATTAATTCTTATAATTTGTTCTAGAATTATTCCTGTAGTCTAAATGATTACATATTCCAATTATCTTTAGGCTCAAAATGACTTAGAAGAGGCAGAATAAACATAAGTGCAACATTTCTAAGTATTTCAAACATGGGTTCCAATTTGAATTATTTCCAAAAGTAGCTTTATTCATATTATTTCTGAGAAAATATTGTACTATTTTTATTGTGAAAATACTGTACAGAGGAGTTACAATTACATGAGCAAGGTAATGAGTACATTTCTTACCGAGCATTGCTGCCTCCTCCTTTGTTTACCCTTCCCATCTCCACCCCAATACCCCTCCTCCCCCCCTGCCCCTGCGCCAAAATTGTAAAGTTCGTTTTCCACATAACATCTTGTACATCTCATTGTTGCAATGGGTCCACCTGTATCTCTATTTAAACAATTTGTTTTTGCCCTTCCCCTCCCCAAATTATACCAACATCAAATACAGTGAAAACAAGGGTTATACCATGGGGGAGGGACATACAAAGCAACAAAGAAATCATCTTATAAATATATTAGAAACAATACCAAGAAAGAAAAACCATTTGAATCTTTATCTTGGGGTTCATTTAGCCTAACATCAACTTATCTGACCGTTTCTGCATGTCTTAGACATATACTAGTTATTGCAAATAAGGGAAACCAAGGGACCTATGTTTCTTTGGGCCTGGCTTACTTCACTTAATATAATTTTTTCCAAGCCTTTCCATTTCCTAACAAATGGGGCAATGTCATTCTTTCTGATGGAGGCATAGAATTCCATTGCATATATATACCACATTTTCTAGACGCCCCTCAGTAGATGAATGGATCAAGAAAATATTGTACTTTTAAAAGGATAAAATAAATCTTTATGAATAGATCCAATTTGTCAATTCAAAGAATAAAATTTCAATGAAAATTTAAATGATCCCAAAGTGATTAATTGAATGGCAAATACATACAAGCCTTAGGTGGGAGACTTTAACATGGGCACATGTTATTACATCTAATATGCCATATTTAAGATAGGTCTACTTAAAACTAGTTGCTCTATAGTTTCTCTCATGTATTTGCTGCTAACTTCAAAGAATATGAATCAACTCCATGTTCAATACCATGCAAATGGTAGTGAAGAATTTGTATTGTATCACCAAAGGAAATATTATTTACTTCTAAAGCTGATTTATTTTGATTACTTACTCTAGGACCAAAAGGGCCAGGGATCCCAGCACTGCCTTGTTCACCATTGGGACCCTATATAAAAAGAAAATTTAAAAACGTTACTAAAATATTTGTATCTTGCATTATTTGTTGACAGTTTTTCTATAAATATATTTTATTGATGCAGCATCATGAACTACTAAATTGTCAATTTCAGCTATGTCTCCATGTGTTCTCTAATATTAAAGACCATTATAGAAACATACAGCTTTTTGCTTAACTTCTTCCCCTCAAAATTACACCTTACATACAGGTAATTATATTGTGTAACTGGGCATTTACCAAGATAATTTTGAAATTAAAATGAGATGCTTAATGTACTTATCAATAAATACGTGTTAATATACTCATGTATTTTCACATGCAAGGAGTAGTAGCATGTAAAGAAATAACTTACAGGGGGTCCTGGAAGACCCTGAAGACCAGTGAAGCCTCTGTGGCCCTTCTGACCTCGGTCACCCCGATCTCCATGATCTCCTTTGTCCCCTCGAGGTCCTTGTGGTCCCTAGAAATACAGTAATGCCATTGATACTACTTTCTTAAGAGTACAACTCACTGAACTTTTAGAGTTGCATTTATTACAATTTATTGTACATCAATGAATGTATTACAGAGTTGTATTTATTACAATTTTTTTGTACTTTATTTTACATGAATGAACATATTTACTTACCTAAATAGCATCATACCCCCAAATTGTGTCTATTTTCCCATGGAGTTGTAGGTGGTCAGTGAAAAAAAATAAGTGCATCATATTGCTTTCTCAAAGATTCAGGGTTTGAACATTTATCTGATGTTCTTAGTAAAATGTTATCATTTTAAGTCTGAGCTTGTTAGCTAAACAGTTAAACACCTATCACAATTTTAGCTGTTTTTTGTTGTTAGTCATGGGGCCTGAACTCTGGGCCTGGGCACTGTCCCTCAGCTCTTCTGCTTTTTCTGCTTATGTGGTGCTGAGGAATCAAACCCAGGGCCTCATGCATGCAAGGCAAGCGCTCTACCACTGAGCCACCTTCCCAACCAAGCTGAGGTTTTTAACTAAAATATTGCTAACGTAAGTAGATTCTATAGAATGAAACCAAGTATTGTTCTTAAGCTTTCTTGAAGAAGGAAATGTTTGTGAAATCTGTAGATATAAATGAACTAAATGAAGATGACAGTTGGGAAAGGAGAAAAAAATAAGCACATAAAACTGAAATATCATCAATAAACCACTCTCATTTTTAAATCATCCATATGGGATCCTTATCAGATCTTCAATATCTGTATCTCAAACTAGAGATCCTGTTCCTCAGAAAATAAAGAAGAAAGTCATAATGAGGAATGTTATTTTGTGTTACAAGCTGCACCCATAGAAGAGGTGAAAATCATCTGATAGATCTCAAATGTTTTTTTATTGTTCCTATTATTGTTTTCTCTGAATACTTTGTTTTGTTTTAGATCCTGGCAAACAAAAACAGTTCCATAAATTCAGTGGATCATTGTAAACAGACAAGAGGAGTAGGATTATTTTCTGTTGTCTTAAGGGTTTTCCTAAAGTACCAGTTGACTCACATTGAACAATAGATGGAATCATCAAATCCACTAGCTCTTAGGTACAAGTTTTTCCTTGTGAGTTTGAGTTTTATTTTCCTTGTTTTTAATTTGGATTTCTGTATTGTCAGTCAGTATAACAGTCTTTTTATAATAAAAACAAAGCTGGATTTCATTCACTATGCAGCAATGTAAAATTATATATCAAAATTAGTCCGAATCTTTTCAATGGAACAGTATAACAAAGCTTTATTGGCATAAATTTAAAGATATAATTTTCTTCTTGAATATGGACTTTGATAAATAAGGGTGAGAACTATTGCTTACTAGCTTGCACATATGAGAGAAACAAAATAGTTAAACATCTGTATAATGATATTTGACCTGCAAGTGATTATAAATACCAAAGAGATCAAAACATAGACAGGAAAGTCTAATTGCAAATGAAGCATGATATTTGAATAATGCTTTTCAAATTACAAAGAGATTTCAAATCGTTTTCTTGTAAGACTTTTTAGCATAACTCGTATAAATATAAAGTTATCCCTATTATGTACTTGGCTTTTCTTACATTAACTATTTAAAATCTATGATACATTATTGCTTGTATAGCTTATCCTATGACATATCACAACATAATCTTTGCTTCTGTCTACCTATAACTTAGTACCTGTTGATCAGTCTTTCCCTGTCCTTCTTATTTTTGAATGCTTAGATCATACTTTTTCCATGAAAGTACATTTTAAAGAAGAATACATGTATTTATTCAGAAAAGAAAAAAAAAACATAGGACTTACAGGTAGACCACGTTTCCCAGCTCGACCAGGTGGTCCTATAGGACCTCGAGAACCCTAGAAAAAGATTCACACAAATTAGCATCTAAAAATATTTATGCATATATTCTATAGACACAGGACTTTAAAGAACATGCTTTCAGTGTGATATTTGTGTGTGATTTACATATACACTATGTATAATTTATTGAAATTCGTTGAATGTCCATATGTAAGTAAGAAAGAATGTGCTGACTCCAAAACTACTTCTAAAGTAATACATAAATATCACTGAAGCTGATTACAAACTTGTTACTTGCTTAATTTATTCATATTTATTACATTTTCCATGAATTACACCATTCTTAATTATTCAAAATTAGGTATTTTTAAGATGGTAGATTCAAGGGAAAGCTCAAATAGTGTAATTCTTTAGAAAGGGCAAAATCAAAGTTCAGCAAAATAAAACACAAGGAAGTAGATATGGGAGAGGGGTGGGCTGGGGCCAAGGGGAAAGGGATAGACAAAGAGAAGAGGGGGAGAATACAACAAGAATCCAAAGTATATCCTACAAAGAAGAGTGAGGGAAGGGGAAAGTAGGGGAAGAATGGGTGAGAATGTTAAAAGGGGTAAGTGACATTGATCAAGATATGCTGTATTCATAAACTGCTGTGTTAAATGGCAACTCTTTTGTAGAACTACAAGGTAATAATTAAAAGAAAGAAAAGACTAATCTGGGATGTAAATTCGTAATTACCTGTTTATAGGTCTTTGCATGAGTTCATGACCCAGTGCATATGACTGGTGCTTGCATGCATTTGTGTAACTTATGGTGCAGTATATTTTTGTCAGTGTGAAATCAAGTCCCTTCTTACCGGTTCTCCTCTCTGTCCTGCATCTCCAGGTGAACCAACTGGGCCAGGAGTTCCTGGGGCTCCCTGAGAACCAGGCAGACCTGCAGGTCCAGGGTCTCCACGATCACCCTAACATAGAAATAGCATTAAAATTATTCTTTTTATCAGTTATTCCACCACAAAAATATTCTATATATTCATTGTCTATCCACATTATGAAAAATGCCTGTTAAACATTTAATCTATTATTTCCACACAAGTATTTTCCATGTGCATGCCCACTCATAAAGCCACATGGAGAGAAAAAGACCATGTTCCTTTAGTGGGTCCCATCCACCCCTTCATTCCACCGTTTGCTCCCACAGTCAATATAATTAGAGTACAGGAGACCAGCTATTCTCAATCTGGAGTGTTTGTAAACTAACAGTACATAAAGCCTCTCCCAAAAGTGTGAATGAAAGAAAAATTTGAAGGAAATATACCATCCAGATTTTTAATCTTGTTTTTCAGAAAACTGGTTTTTTAACATCCCTTTCCCACTTGCCCATTTCACATTTTATGAGAGAAAAACTGATACTATACCATCTGCAACTTTATTATAGGCAATGTCTCAAAGAGTAAATAGTTCTAGGCATTAGATCATGCTGTTTCTCGAGTACAGGGTTCACTTGAAGTGAAGCTAAGAGGAATTTACAAAGAAAGAGGCTGTTTCTTATTTTATCCAGATGATTCCTATAATCTTACATTTTCCTCTTAAGAAGTTAGAAGTGAGATAATTGTGATGTGAACATGTGTGAATACAATTATTTTACTTAAAATGCAGCCAGATTTCATTCTCTTGCAGGAATTAACAACTACTAGCTGACTGATACATTTAGCAATCAGGATAAATTTTGGTAGCTAAGTTACAAGAAATTGAAGAAGCTAAACTGCCAACTCAAAGGATTTGGGAAAAAAAATCATTTAAAGCCCGCACACATTCAGATTTTTATCAGGAATTACCTTCATTACAACTATTTAACTTTGTGACTTAAAATAAATGAGACAGTGAATTAAAATGAGAACAAGTCTCCACAGATTTCCAAAATTATTTTAGAAGGTACCTCAAGCAAAACTTTCGATTGCATAGCTAGTTTCTTAGCAGATCAAGTTTCCAAATTAGAAGTTTTTAGCTTCAAATTCTTCAGCTAATTAGGAATCTTTAAAAGGTAGAGCTACTCCATCATAATAGACTTCAGAGCAGCCTGGTGTGTAGCTGAAGACAAGTGTGCAACTGCTAAAAGGACTGAACTTAAACCAGAGTTGAAAGAATTTTCAGTTCAGCACATGTTTAATTTTAAAACACATCAGGGAATGTATAGTGTTTAGAAAGCACATGGCTATAAATCATTCACTTTAGAGGGTGAGTAGAGAAATTCATGTCTCACAGCTCTATTTGAACTTTTGTACTTTTGTGAATAATTTTGCAACTTAGAACATTCCGTGTGTGTGTGTGTGTGTGTGTGTGCGTGTGCGTGTGTGTGTCCTCACAGAGCCTTTATGTTGCGCCAGAAAAGAACACAATATACTCCCTGCTTTTCATAAAAATGCTTTTATAATTTGCCATTTATTTAAGCACTATTGATTTAAAATATTTTTAAAACTTAAGACCTTACAAAGCGTTTTGTTATGGGTTGGACCTGATGGTTCACACCTATAATCCCAACTATTCAGGAGGTGAACACAGAAGGACCAGTGGAAAGCCAGCCAGGGCAAAAAGGGCAACATTTATAGGAAATTGGGGATGTGGCTCAAGTTCTGCTGTAGAATCTGAATTTAATTCCCAGAAAAACACAGAGAGACACATGGGGCGGGAGGCTGAGAGTAGCACTATCATCAGAAGGAAAAACAGAGCTGCCTGGGCCCTATGAGAAGAAAGTTTAGATTTTTAAATATAATACTAAACTCTCAATGATTTCAGACTTAGGTAAACCTAGATTTTTATAACATTGCTCTTACACGTTCTCCAACAGCTCCATCCCGTCCTGGGGTCCCATCATTACCAGCTGGACCCTAGGTAAAACAATATTTAAAAAATGAATTAACTGGGTAGTTTTAATGAAAACTTTCATCCCAATTTTCAGAAAATTAACTACGTATTTTACACTTCTCTTTTGTAAACTTAAATTACCATATGAAAAATCTCAGCAGAAGAAAGATGTCTATCATGTTCCTAATATTTTCAACTTCTTCTAAAATTAATATTTCCTAACAACCATTCCTGATTCATAATTTTAAACAACTCCTTAACTACCTTGAAATAAGCAGAGTACAATTAAATTATTACCATTTTATATTTTGTCTGTCTTTTCAATGAATGTTGTTTTCACTTCTTGAGTTTCTCCAATGAATATTCTTATAGTTTTGGAATCAAGTAACTGTTTTCTGGTTATATTGAATTACTTTCAAAATGTATGGCCTTCTTCCCTTATTTTATTTTGATTGATTTCTTAACAATGCTTTTATTGTTTAATATATTAGCCCTGAAAACTACTGATTAATTTTTTCAGGAGAGTGTCACTGTGACTCACTCATTAAAGTACTTCACAGAGGGTATTACCACCTTTAAGTTCTGGAATTACCTGTCAAAAACTGATTTCCACCCCAAAGTGTCTAAAAGAACAAGACATCCATAATGCTGCTTTATAGCAACACTTAGCAAAATGTCCTCTACTTGCTGTGCCCTTTTTACAATCTTTAATAGTCACATTAATCCTATCACCATAAGAGTTGGCAATTTTGATAAATATCCATTGCAAAATGAAATAATAACAAAGGAGATGAATGGGCACGTCCTTTCACCTTCAGAACAATTTGACAAAAGCTAAGTCACTAAGTCACTAGTTCTAGACGAGATAAATACGCGACAAGTTTTTAAAATTCTAAGTTATTTTTACATGCAAAAGAAAAAAAAACTGTCCTCTTGACACCCAGGTAACAAAATAGAGCTATTTTCAATGAAGTACTCACTTCTGGTCCGGGTTCTCCGACAGGACCATTTGAGCCAGGGGGTCCCACAGGCCCTGGTGGACCTTTATCTCCTGTTGCACCAGTTGGTCCTACTTTTCCTGGTGTGCCCTGAAAGTGAAATACAAATAACTCAACCACTTCTGAGCAACCAAAGGTGACTCATTGTCTCCTGTATCAATAACTGTCCAGTATCCTATAGAATTCATGCATGACTTTTTATTACTTCCCTTGTAGCATATCAGAAGAAACAAAAGAAATTCTGTACTTCTAGAATCTGTATCAAGAGATGCAGCCCTTATTATTCTGTTGCTCTAACTTAACTCCTCATTTGATGGCTTCAGATTTCCACTTAAGGTTCTCTCCATAGTGCTCTCTGTCTCTCCCTCCCCCCCTCCTTCCTCTCTCTCTCTCTTTCTCTCTCTCCTTGCTTCTCCCTCTCCCCCCTCTCTTTCCTTCCCTCTCCCTCTCCCCCCTCTCTCCATTCAATATCAATATAGAATATAATTATTTTCTTCCTTCAGGCATTGTAAATACTTCTCTGGTAAAATTTAGTCTCTAAAAAACCAACATTAAATCAAGATATCAAACTTTCATCTGTACTCCAAAAATATGACATTCTTAGACACCCTCAGGAAAAAAAAAGAGATTACCTCCAGAACCCTTCTTTAGAGTTCATCCCACATTCAGCTCTAATACTACTTTAGCTCAACTACTTCTTCCCTTTGATGGTTTACTGTGAAATAGGAGTTCTTTTGTTAAAGATGTTTATTTTAAAAGTTTCCACCTGCTCATCAGTTTATACCCATTTCTGGCTTTATGCATCTTTTTAAAAATTCTTGAAGAAAGATTTTAAACTCATCAAAAAACAAAATCCTTATGTGCTTACTTCTTTAGCCTCAGGGTTAAACAACTACATTTTCAAAAGACTTTGCAAGGTGGTTAAGCTTTTACCCTGTAAGATCAGATGGTTTTTAATATACTCAGAATTTGTGTCACTTCATAACAGTTTAATCTATTCAGTTAAAAAATCAATTCTCTCAGAACCAATTGCACTGCATAGGTAAGGTCAAGTATTGAGAGACAGCTACTCACCGCGGGGCCCGGCAGGCCCGGCATGCCCCGTTCTCCACGCTGTCCAGGCATGCCCACAATCCCTCTTTGCCCAGTAGTTCCAGCAGGACCAGGTGGACCATCTGGACCCTAATATTGATGATAAACTATAATTACTACTTCTACATAACAGAGCCATATCTACAGATTTGACAATAGATTGATTATGGTTTGATGGGTAATTCAATATTTACAAAGTTCTCTTTCACAAAACTACAATAGATAGATGATACATAAATAGATATCGTTTATATACTTGTACAACTATATACATATAGTTTATTTTTTATTTTTTTATTTTTGTCGGTCATGGGGCTTAAACTCAGGGCCTGGGCCTCTCCCTCAGCTCTTCAGCTCAAGGCAAGCTCTCTACCATTTGAGCTACAGCGCCACTTCCGTTTTTCTGGTGGTTTATTGGAGATAAGAGTCTCACACACTTTTCCTGCCCCAGCTGGCTTTGAACCAAGATCCTCAGATCTCAGATCCTCCTGAGTAGCTAGGATTACAGGTGTGAGCCACCGGCACCTAGCTATACATATAGTTTATATACATTTCACAAAACTATAATAGATGATAGATATTATAGTTTATATACCTAAACATATATGCACAGTCACAGCTGTAATTCAGTCTCTAACATTATTTAAAGGTAAAAACATTTCACTAGCTACAAAGAATTTAATAAATAATATGAATTTTGACTGAAAAAAGCTGAACTATTCAAAGAAATATTTTCCTCCTAAAATCAGAAATGTAAAGAGTTAAGAAATAGTATGTCTCTAAATATATCCTAAATGTATTAATATTTAATGATAGTCACTAAAAATATGTTTGATTGTCTTCACATACTATATTTAACAAATAATATTTTTGTTTAGTTCTTTAAAATCTATGCTCATTACTTTTCCAAAAATATTTATACATATTTTTTTCTTAAAACAGATTGTTTGAATTAAAAATCCTATAATTCACCTAAAAGGATTTAGGAACATACTCAGTTAATTTACCAGCTTCTTTGGGAAAGTGATTTTTATATAAGTATTTCATAAAAATATGGCAAGTGGAGATGGCATAAAACAAAGGTACCAAACTTACAGACTGCCCATCTTCTCCTGGGTCTCCCTTGTCTCCTGGGCCACCAGGCGGCCCTGCTGGTCCTCTATCTCCCACTCGTCCATGAGAGCCAGGGTCCCCACGAAGCCCTGGAGGTCCCTCCTTCCCTGGCTCTCCTATAGGCCCTGCAGGTCCTGGAGCTCCCTGGTTTAATACAGGAAAGAACATCAAGGAGGGAAAAGTAAAAGCCAGGTAAAAGGGATTGGCCCACAGGCCTCATCTGCCTTTTCTGCAGATGGCCAAATTTTTAGGTTCATTTTCCCTGTGAGATAATCTGTCACTATGTAGACAGAAACAAAACAAATCATAGCTGTGGATTTGTACTCCTGAAGAAAATCTGGGTTTCATTATCAGTGAAATTAAATTGAATTTTCAAATATAAATAAAGCTCTGTTCCAAATATGGAGATAGAACATTGTTTCTGTCTGATTGAGTCTTACAATAACATTTATTAAGGAGAGTTTCAAAGATGTATCATAATTAATGGAATTGTTTTGTGCACTTGATACTATAAATGTTGGGTATAGCTGATATTGGGACTAAGAAGGATTTTCAAAATAAGCTCCTCCCAGAAATATGGGATTTTCAAACATTTTTGACGAAATAACAATGAAGTATTGCAAAAGAGCTATAATCAGATAAATAAATAAAAACAATAGCTCAAATGTGTAGGCATGAGTGTGTGTGTGTGTGTGTGTGTGTGTGTGTGTGTGTGTGTGTGTGTTTTCATTCTATTATAAATTACTTGAATGACTAATTCTACTTACAGCAGGACCTGGGGGTCCAACTCTGCCTGCAGAACCAGGAAATCCTGTAGCACCCTAGGAATATAACATGATAGGACCAATTTTTAAAAGTAGTATTTATTAGTTATACGTATTTTCCTAAGTTCTACCTTTTCAGAGGAGAACTTGGGTCATGAGAGTCTCTACTACATTGTAATTATATGTTTAATTTTTCCTCATGCAGTATATTTTTTTGAGAAAGAATCTGGATTGGTTTGTAGAAAGGGCACAGATTTTACCATTCTAGTCTTCTTTAACTTGGATATCCACCAGATACTTCCCAGAATCATATAATGCAAACGTTTTCACACTATCTGTTTACCCTTTTGCTTAGGTAAGACATTATTTATTTCACACACAAAGCAGCTGGCTATTTCAAATTACAAAATGATCTCCATTGTAAGTATTCTTTTGCTTCACTGTATAGGTAATGCATTTAATCCTTGTTAAAGTTTCATGAAGATTAACTTTGATGAGGCAAGGAAGTAATAGACAACGTGGATGAGTTGAGCCAATTCTCAATAGTATGAAAGCAACTTACTGGTGGACCCTGGGTTCCTCTACCACCTTTCAGCCCTGGAACACCATGAGGACCCTACATAAAATGAGCAAAAACCCATTAGACACCTACTGCACAATAGGCTTAATGGACACTCTAACTCAGAACTAGACTCAAATTATGTCTTTTGGTTCATTTGGTTTTTTTTCTAACTTACATGAGGGCCAGGGGACCCTGCAAGCCCTTGTGGTCCAGGAGATCCGGCATCTCCTTTCTGCCCTGGCTCTCCAGGTTCTCCCTTCACTCCAGGCTGTCCATCAGGCCCCTATGTTCAATCACAGAGATGAACAACTGATTGTAAGGTTAATGCACACATTAATTACCATTCGTATAATATTAATATACCATTTGGTTGCTTCTTGTTAAATGATGTTTGTAATCAGAATTAAAGCATAATAGAAGAAAATAATAATAAAATATTTAGATTGTCTATACTGGCATACTTTATTTTTTTATAACAAATAGGTAAGCTCAAACACTGTAAACATTTATGTGCTACCTGTGAAAAGTATATTGAAAATGAGAATAATGCCTAGAAAACTGTTCAGAAATTTTAATATAACTTAAAAATGATAATAATATTTAAACTACTTTATCTACAAGAACATTGTTAATTTGCAAATTAGAGATATGTGAAAAGTATACCTGGGGTCCCGCAAAACCAACAGCCCCGGTTGGGCCATTTTCACCACGAGAACCCTAAGAGAAAATAAAGATTATTAAGCTTTCATACATTATTATTGTAAATAAGAATATTTTAAAATAGGTTTATAAAAATTTTGTGCAGTTAACTGTATCTATAGAGACATTAGACACATTGATTGAGAAGTATAATTAAAAATGATACTAATGTATAGGTTATTAAACAAGAGTTCATAGTTCACGAGTCTCAAAAAGTTTCTTAATTATTTGGCAAACAAATTGTCCATCAAGACTTCATACCCCCAAAATATTTTAAAGTGTAATTCAAAAACTAAAAGTTAAAAGTCATGGAAAACTAAAAGTTAAAAAGCATGGAAATTAGGGGCTGGGAAGGTGGCTCAGTGGTAGAGCGCTTGCCTTGTATGCCTGAGGCCCTTGGTTCGATTCTTCAGCACCACATAAGCAAAAAGAAAAAAAGCCGGAAGTGGCGCTGTGGCTCAGGTGGTAGGGTGCTAGCCTTGAGCTGAAGAGCTGAGGGACAGTGCCCAGACCCAGAGTTCAGGCCCCACAACCGGACCCCCCCCCAAAAAAAGGCATGGAAATTAGAAGATAGATAGATAGATAGATAGATAGATAGATAGATAGATAGATAGATAGATAGATAGATAGATAGATAGATAGATTGATTGATTGATTTCTATAAAAATAAGCAAATAAATCATGAATTGTTTGGGGTGGCTCATCTTCATAACAAAGAATATCAAAATACTATTACTTACAGGATTGCCACGGGATCCAGGTGGGCCAACTAAACCTCGAGGACCAGATTCACCCTAGAAAGTACATTTTTGGTGGTCATTGTCCCAAGCAGTAGGAAACAAAACCATTGAACAATACTGGGTACCATGTGTAGATAGATATGGGAGATAATTCTGAGATGGCCTTCCTCAGACCCAGAATTTTCTGGAAGAGGAAACATGAGGTTTCCTCATTTTAAGTATACAAAATAACAGTTTGACTTACCTTTTCTCCAGTCGGACCTGCAGGGCCTGGGGGGCCCAAGGGACCAGGAAGACCCTGTCAATTAACAAAACATAAATATATTAGAAAAAAGATTACATAAAAATGGTCACTTTTAAGCAAACAAAAAGGAGTATATAAAAATGGTCATTTTTAAACAAATAAAAGTTATTATAATTTACCTGCTATTTTTAGTCATTATCTACAATAAATAATATAAACTGTAGAGTTTCCAGAATTTCTGTTTGGTCAATACAATTTCCAGATTTTTTCTGCAGAATGTTACAAGCTCACTTAGCTTAACATGAATACACGAGCTGCTTTTCAATATTAGTTATCCTTAGACAATGTTTCAGTTTCTTAGCCTGTTTAATTTTGTTAACTTCTACTTTGAAATTTGAATATACATTATAATATCTACTTTGAATATAGGTTATTTGAGCAGAAATCCTATTCTTAGTCTGTTAATATTTATTTGAAATTTGAGTATATGCTATTGCTTTGTAATCTACTCTTAAATCATATAACAACAGACATTAACTGATTTAAAAATGAAGTCTTGCTAATTTCATTTCTTTCCTTTTTCCCTTCCTTTCTTCCTTCTTGTCTTCCTCTTTCTCCCTTTCTTCCTTCCTCCTTCCCTCTCTCTTCCTTCCTTCCTTCCTTCCTTCCTTCCTTCATTCCTCCCTTTCTTCCTCTATCTCTCTCTCCTTTTTTATTTTGCCAGTCCTGGGGTTTGAATTCAGAGCTGGGCACTGTCCTTGAGCTTCTTTTGCTCAAGGCTAGCACTGTACCACTTGATGCACAGTGCCACTATGGCTTTTTCTGTATATGTGGTACTGAGGAACCAAACCCAGGGCTTCATGCATGCTAGGCAAGCACTCTACCACTAAGCTACATCCTCAGAACCCCCCCACTTCCTTCCTCCCTCCCTCCTCTCTCTTTCTTTTTTTTTTTAATTAATTCATTCCAGAAAGAATTGGAACAGTTCATATTTCTAAAGCATACTTACAACTAACAGCAAACTATGTCTTACTGAACAGAAATAGTTCACGAAATAGCAGAAACTGTTCCAGAAAATACTGGATGTTTGAGCCACTGTGACTAATCACACAAATATGGAATTCAATCATATTTGTAAATATTGTTCTTCTAGTCTGATTATCCTTGGAATGGCAAATGTTGGCTAATTTTGAAGACTTAAAGCCTATTAAATGTCTGTTTCTAAAAAGTGTATTAATTTTTTGCATTAACCATCTCTCTTGACATTTAAATTGTTAAATTTCTTTATTGATTAAAAGCATTAATAATTACTCACAGTAGTGTAATTCTGTTATCTTGTACATTGAGAAACACATCAGAACTTCCATTACTATACAATTCTCTTAGCCTGTGTTGGAAGGAGTTTCACACCAACTCATTTTAAATGATCATTGAATATAAATTATAATGGTTATAAAGAAAAAAATAGAGTGAGCTCATTTGTTTAAATCACCCAATCCAAAGGCCAAAAGAAAATGTATATATTATGTTGGTCTTTCAACAATGACCTAATCCTGTTTACTTGGAAATCAAGATTAGAATGATGGCATTTGAGATTTGGTGTGAATTGGACAAAGATATTTATTTCACTTACAATTAATTACAGTAGGACAAAAATTAACTTCATTTCGAAAAACTAAAGCAAGTTCATACGATCGTTAGAATGTTTTCTAGCCCAGCTAGAAGAAGGTGCATGTCTCACCCACCCTTGCTCCATCATTTCCAGCTGTTCCTTCAGCACCTTTCTCTCCTATGCCACCCTGAAAAAACACAAGAGACACCATTTGTTGCTTCAATTGTCTGTTCCCTACATGTATGAACAAACCTCCACGAGGAGAAGAACTTAAAGGTTGTCTTCATGGTTATTTCTTGAATCTACAATCACATCTGTGCATTTTTTCAATAAATATGTTAGGAGAATAAATATACAAATAACTTGGAATTCACTGATAGCTTGTTGATAAAAGTAAAAGCTTGCCCCCCAAATCATTATCATTAGAAAGTCTAAAGAATGAACTAGAAAATAAAATAGACTTACTCTGTCACCCTTGGGTCCAGGAGTTCCTGCAATTCCTCTTTCTCCTGGCATACCCTGAAGACCGGGTGGGCCTGTATCTCCAACGGTCCCGGATGGACCCGGGCTGCCCTAATGCAAACAGGTAATAAGTGACAATTTCAGTATGTTAAGACTGAACTATATGAAATTGATGATTTTTAGATTAAAAAAAAAACAGTTGGATGTCAGAAATTTCACATAGTTTGGCTTAGTACTTGTGCTTTGCATTATGGAAGGTTGTCTCTGAGCTGAAGTTTTGAGATTAAAAAAAATCTGAATTGTTTTTGCTTTTTGGTTTATGTTTCTATTTTTTTCTTGAGAGAAAATTGAACAAAAATTAAAATTAAAATAAAGTAATGTGTTTTTCTTTTGTTCACTATATATAATGATACTAATAAAGAAGGTAGATCTTATTTATACATGTATTTATTTGAGTGTGTGTGTGTGTGTGTGTGTGTGTGTGTGTGTGTGTATTCTGATCCCTAGACTTGAAGTTAGGATGAGCACTGTCCCTGAGCTGTTTGTTGTTGTTATTTGTTTGTTTTTTCTAACAGCTAGAACTCTCCAACTAAGCCAGAGATCCATTTCTAGGTTTTAGTACTGAATTGGAAATAAGAATCCCACAGACTTTCCTGCCCAGGCTGGATTTTCAAACCATGATCCTCAGATCTCAGCCTCCTAAGGATTATAGGCATGAGGTACTACCTTTCAGATAAGAAAGATCTTGTATTTGATGAAAAGAAAGATTTCAGTTTTTTCTTTAGGGGGCCTGCAGTATTTAGTTGCTTTTCCAGATAACTTAATGATTAAATTCAACTTAGCTTATTCAATTGTTCGGGGCCCTAAAGGTATTAAGGATTCTCGTATTATCACAAGAAAAAATTCTACTTCAGTTATGCATACTAAAATTGGATATATTATCTTCTATCAATCATGAAATAGAACTTCAAAGGAAAGAATACTGATTTTGCCTTATGATGTATTATACTTTCAGACTCAAAAAGTGACTATTTTTATATAGAAAGTAGAAAGTAGAACTTTGGGAACCAAACACAAGGAAAATGGAACCTGTGACTAGGAATACCTCCTAATAAATTCTGTAATTGTTCTCTTTGTTGTCTCTGCTCATTCACGGGAGTTTTTAACAAAAGTTAATATCCCCAATAAGCATGTATAAGGGACTTAATCATTAAGTGCCCAACACCATGAGAGTCATCCCAGATTTTTTAAGCTCTCTTTAGTTGTCAGTAAAAGTTCTAGTTAGGCACTAATTAAAAATGTATGGATTATGTGATTTTTTTTGTTTTTTTGGTATGTTCCTCCCCTACAGTGTAACCTCTGTTTTCCCTGGATTTGATACTGGTGCCTTGCATATTGTATATAGATTTTTCTAATTTGGGGATGGGAAGGGGAAAAACAAAACGCTTAAATAGGGATACAGGCTGACCCATTGTAACAATGAGCTGTACAAGACATTATGTTGAAAATGAACTTTACAACTTCAGGGGGAAAGCGAGGCGAGGGGGGGAATAGTTTGGGGGAGGGAGGAAGGGATAGTAGGAGAAAAACAAAGGAGTAAGAAATGTACTCATGACCTTACTCATGTAACTGTAACCCCTCTGTACACTATTTTTACAACAAAAATGTATTTTTTAAAAAGAGCCTGGCTTTGATAGGCAGCTGAATGAATGAATGAATGAATGAGCAATGTGCAGGATCACCTATTCTAAAATAATTTAATTCAAATAAATATCTGTTTCTGACCATTTTTCCTTTAAAAAATTATGGAAAGAGAAAGTGATAAATTGAGTCATCTTGGAAAACCAAGAAATACACATTCTAGTACCATCCAATGTTTCTTATAGAAAAATGTTTTAGAAGTTTACAACATTCAGATCATCATTCTACTTACTTTTGGCCCATCGGGACCATGTCCCCCGGCCATTCCTTTCTCACCGGGGAGTCCAGTTATCCCAGGTTCTCCTCTTTCTCCAGGATTGCCTCGCTCACCCTAACATAACATTACAAAGTTGACACAATCACAATTCCATAGCTAAAAATGGGTCAAAATATTTCTGTAACATAACTTCTTAACTTAATAGAGAAAAAGTTAGAAATGGCTCATTACTAAAGTTCTATTTTATTATTTTAGTGCTAAGTCATAAATTTAAAGAGTATGGTAGCGTATCTTGAGATAAAAAGAGTATCTTGAGATAAAGTATTTCTTACAAGATGATTTCCCTCTAGCCTACAAATAGAATGCTCGAATAAAGCCCCCTTTAAGATTAAAGATGCCTTTTTAAGTTGAAGGGAAAACATAGTGAATTATGAAACAAAATTACTTACTCTAGGTCCTAATGGGCCAACTGCTCCAGGATCTCCAGGAACACCCTATAAATTTGATTTTTTTAAAAATGAAGGGAAAAAAAGCTTTGAGCTAGTTTTTAGTTATTTATTAGGAATCTTTCCAGATCATGCATTCAACTGTTATTAGTGTACTATTAGAAGGCTAATATACTTTCCTAAATGAGGCAATAGAAGCATATTTGAAGAAAAATGTATATTACTTGAACGTTTGACTTTTGGAAAGAGAAAGGTAAAATAATTCTCTCACAAAGATAGAGCATTAGATTTGTTTTGTTTTAGAGACAAAAGAATATATTCTATTTATTTCCCAATGGAATATGAAAAAGTTTAAACAGAGGGAAGGAATAGAAAAGTCAAACATCAGCTTGTCATTCAAAATAGAATCGAGTCAATTATACTTAATTTAGTAAACATTTCTCAAGCATATAATGTATACAAAGAAACAGCTCTCCTAGGAATTGTGAATTTAAACTAATATAGTCAGCGAAGTCTAAACTAAAACTTTTGGGGGGGAGGGGGTCGATTGTGGGGCTTGAACTCAGGGCCTGGGTGCTGTTCCTGAACTTTTTTGCTCAAGGACAACACTCTACTGTAATTTTGAACCACAGCTCTACTTCTGGTTTATGGTGGCTAATTGGAGATAAGAATCTTACAACCTTCTGATATGGCTTGGCCTGACAATTTCACGGATATCCTAAAATCCAAATCTGATGGTGTTACTCCCAATTAATACCCCTTTCATCACTTTTCCATTACTCTAACAATGAAGAACAAATGGAAACTTTCAATCTGATCCCTGATTCACAACTCCAGTGTCAAATCTACCCTTTTCAGGATTACGCACTCTTGATTTACTGACAAGTTTTATTGATGGAAATCGGTCAGCAAACTTTTATACTTACTAGTCTCATTTCCTAGAGCACTATCACTTTCAGATTTCCCATCATTCATAATTCACATTTCTCTAAACTCTCAATTCTGATTTAAATAAATCTTCCATGTTTCCACATAGATAGAACCTCATTTACTATTGTCTTTAAAACATGTTGCTATTGTATCTGTCTTCCCTATATTCTCTTACTGTTTTGTAATTTAGGACAAGGTCCTTATTCAATTTGATCAGGTAGAAAAGACCGGTATTTAGTAAGCCAAATCCATGGAATAGGCTTGATAAATAGTAACAAACAAGTGAATTATTCAGAGAAAATAAATTTATGTGCCAATAAAATTGTAGAAATGAGCAGTTATATATTTTCCTAACTGTAATGACAGCTAGTACAACTGTAATTATGATGCAATACATATGAGAAAAGACAACTTCTGTTCCAATCATATCAACTGTATGACTTTGGGAAAGTTATCTAACATCTATGTGCCTCGTTTTCCTAGTCTATAAAGCTCAAATAATAATACAACACAGAACATAGGAAGAGATACAACACATAAAGAAAACAGAGCTTCACTTCAAACACCCATATGTTGTTCCAACCATCTACTGTTTTCGTATTAGCATTCTAACATTATTACTACGATGATGATTATTTAAAATTATACCTGGTCGCCTGGCTTCCCCCCTTCACCAGGAGGCCCTGGGGGTCCAGGGAGACCCTAAAAGTAAGAAAACAAAATTTTGATGCTATGAAAGATTCACAGATTACCAATGTCAAAAGTTCACCTTTTATAATTTATACAGACTTCACTTCAAGCAAGTGGACATGTAAAGCTTTAAAAAGAATACTCTCTATACACATTAAGAAATAAAATACACTTACAAAAAGACAGAGCTAGTCTATTGATAGGGTGAGATTTTCATTTAATTTACACGCAATTTGCCAAAAAAAAAAAAAAAAAAAACTATAGCATTAGGATACTTCTGTTTGTAATGTTCTACAGATCTAAGAAACAGTTATCTGAGCCTACTGAAATATCACTGGAAGTCAGTTCTGAAATTTTTTTTCACAAATTACGACTACTAATGCTGTTAAATAATTAGTAAGTACAGAATATGTAGCAAATAATGTTAATTTGTCAAAAATTTTGGTGATTATGCCAATAAAACTAGAGATAGCTTATAATAACAGCAAAATGGTTCAGATATATGGACATTCTATTACTTTCAATTTAATAATTTGGGCTTACTCAGTTTCCAAAGAAAGTCAATTTGTCATATTTGCACAACAAAGTTTAATCTTTATCTAGTTGTCTATTCTGAAGTGTGAGTGATTTGAAGAGTTGAGAAATTTCACATCACTTGATATTACTTTTTTGTATTATAAAAGGTATTCAAAACCCATTTAATTCAAGAAAAAAAATAGAAATCAGAGTTACCTGAAAGCCAGTGGGGCCTGGAGGGCCCTGCTCTCCTCTTTCTCCTGCAAGACCCTAAGTCAGGAAGTAACAGAAACCATAAACAGTGTCAGATAGTTACACATGCTTTTTGTGTCTGTGAATATAGAAGTGTTATGGATCTCTTCTTTACCCCTCAGTCATGCTTCCTAAGTTCACTAGATAATAAATAATTAACAAGAATCATCCAATGTTATCAAGTCCCTGCTGTTAAAAATATATCCTCTAAAACCAGGGAGAGTCTGATGGTACATATTTACTTTTTATGTAAATCTAAAATGTCATATGCCAATTGTAAATATGGAGAAAGTAGAATTGGAAAAGCCTTTGTTGTTATATATATATATATATATATATATATTATATATATTAAAGAGTAATATTTCCATTATTTATTCTAAGAATTATTAATCATGATTTCAAAGCTAGGATGACCAAAGAAAACAAAGAAATATTTTAGAAAGATATTTACACTGCTCCACCCAAAAACAAATAAATATGCCAAAATATTTCTGACATTTTAAAATCCTAAAATGAAAACCTAACCTCATAGCATGTTATGCTTTCAAAACCAGCCAGTTTAAATAACTTTCATAGGCTATGTTATTGGAAGGGTCTAAGTATAATCCCATGTTTAAATATTTTAAATAAAATACATTATAAAATATTATTAGCAAAACATATTTTCCTTGGTATATTCTTCAACTATGACATATGATGAAGTACCTTTTTGACATTAGAGTTTTAAAAAATAGTTTTATGTGACACCTATAATTTTATCTAGAAAAACAGATGATAGCAGAATATAAGCTATAATTAAAAATCATCATCAAATTCATTCTCATTCTTTTCCCTCAGTACTTATTCATGAGTAATATTTTGAATAAAAACCATTATAGAGATTAGACATATACACATTGCCATTTAAGAGATCACATACCGGGGGACCCACAGGACCGGAAGGGCCAACTTCACCATCTTTGCCAGGAGCACCCTAGTAACACACAGGGATAATCTGTGACATGAGGTGGAGAGAATTTGTGTAGATTTCTGCATTTGTTATTCTTTAAATGAACATAGAAAGTTACCCTCTGCCCAGGAACACCAGCATTTCCTGCTTCTCCAGGCTTTCCAGGGTCACCCTAATTAACAAATTGAAAATATTCAAAATTATATTCAATCAGTTCATTGAACTTGCTAAAAATATATCTTGATCTCCAAATGAGGATTCTAATGAGATGGTTAACATTCTACATCATACTCACACTGCTACCTTTGGGTCCAGGAAGACCCATACTCCCAGGCTGTCCTCTGATTCCTATGGAGCCTGGAGGCCCTGGTCGGCCATCTTCCCCTGAAGCACCCTACAGCATTAATAGAAAGCATATAAGTGACATATATAAAATTCTCTATAGATTCACCTTGCACACACTGTCACTTGTATTTACTTACTATAAATATATATGTTTGTCTACTATATACATGTGCAATTTCTTTTTACTAGTATATAGTCACCACACAAAATAAAAGTTTTCATTATGAGATTCTATTCATGCATATAATGAATTTTGATCATATTTACCCACTCTACTATTCTTTCCTATTCCTTTCCTAATTTTCCTTTTCCCTTCTACTTCTACTTATGCAACCTCCCTTTTGCTTTCATGACCTTATTCCTTATGTTTTCCAGCCCCAGATTGAACAAATGAGAGAAAACACACATTTGCCTTCATGAGACTGGCTTATTTCACTCATATAAATTTGAAATTATTCCATGGTTTTATCTCAATGAATCAGAAGTGTTGAATGTCTTTTGCTTATTAGAGAATTGCTGAAGTACTGAGAGTATTTAGAATAGAGGATATGGTACACCAAAGTCTCATCTTCACATTGCTTAACATCCTCATACTCACAGGAGTTATTTTCCTTCTTTCATGTACTCTGCTTTGTGGTAATGAATGTTTAGGATTCCTAGTTTACACATTCTATTATAAGGGAAGGTCTCAGAATACACAAGCTGTCAGCATTCATACCTACTAGTCTCTTCAACATGCAAAATTGGAAAGATGCCAGGAAATAAGACTATTACTAGTAGAATAATTTTTCCAGTGTTGAAATATATCATTTCAACTTTTCCACTGGAGAAATTTCAACCTTAAGCATTCACTTCAAATTTTATCTATATATTTTTAACTAAAAATACATAGATTCTAAGAATTTGTTTCTAGTGAGGACTTAAATATATAAACTTAAAATATGTAAACATGACCAACATCTTCATGATCAAATAAATTTAAATTTATGTCTGTTCAAAAGGCCAAAGGTTATAGGCTTTTATTTAAGTCATTTACCAATGGTCCAAGTTTTCCTTCAGGACCTTGCACACCAGGATTTCCTGTCAGACCCTGAAAATGAAAAGCAATTGTCAATTTGTTGTTGAATGAATGGATGTATAGACTCTAACCAGGAAATGTAATGTTGTATTGTTGACAACTAAATAGAAAGTCCCTTTTGTAGTGCAAGTAACTTTCAAATGCAATTTTGTTAAATGAAACTATTCAGGAAACTTATCAAGAATTCTGTGTCAAAGATCAAACTGATTTTTCAACAATAAATGTAAAAATTCAAAACAATTTTTCCTGCTGTCAAGTGGTAAAGCTATTGACATATATTTCTTTGAGAAGAGAAATTAACTGTGCTTTGTATACATAACTCAACTAACAAACCAATATCTAAAAATATATTAGAAAACATGAAAACAAATGTTCCATGTAGTAAAAACAAACTATTTTTTATAAGACCAGAAAACTACAAATTTCAATGCTCAGGAGGATTTCTTCTGGGGTGCCGGTGATGTGCCGGGTAATAGCAGTGTACTCACCCGAGCACCGGGAAGTCCAGGTTCACCCGGACGCCCTGGGTCTCCCTGTCCTCCTTTGGGTCCTGAAGAACCCACAGGACCCCGTTCTCCTTGAGCACCCTATTCCAAATCAAAGTGGACAAGTTAGGATAAAAGGGATACAGGAAACAAAAGCAAGTAGAGATTAAAATATACACTAAAATATAAATAATTTCTCACTGAACATTTGGTTATAGCTTGCATTCTTTATAACACCATTTTTTCCCTCACTAAGTAATGAAAGCTGGAATTAAAGCTTCATTCAAATAATTGAGAGTTTTCCTTAAAAATCAGAACTTTGAAAGGGTCTAAAATTTTAACTAAAGGATATTTTCTTCTCGGGAATTTCTATAGAAAGTATGAAAACAAGATCCCATTTTCTTCTGACCATCATCTTTTGTCCCTAGAACTCTTCATGGGGAAAAAAATTACCAAAGACATGTAAATAGGCCTGATCTCTGCATCCAAAGTCTTTATAGAACTAGGCTCAAGTGGTTCAGTTCCATGTCATCCACACTGAAAGATGGAAACTTGTGGAACACTAGTATCAGCAAGAGTGTAGTAATCTCACCTTTGGTCCAGGTAAGCCATCAGAACCTGGAAAACCACGATTGCCAGGAGCACCCTACAAAGTATCAAGATGGGATTCTTAATTATTGCTGAGAGCTTTGTAATTAATGTGTTGTTTTTTACTTTTAGCTCTTAAGTTTTAGCAGTAATGAAACCAACACAACAGATAAGTATGAGGAAAAAGAATCTGATAGAAAAAATTCAAATTTTGAGGAATATGTTAGTACTAAATGTTTGTGTTTTTTTTAACTTGAGAACCTTGCTCAACTAGTGCTCTATCACTTTCCTGCTAGCCCTGCTTTTTGCTTGACTTTTTGGAGATGAGTCTCCCAGATTTTTCTTTCCAGACTGGCTTTGAATTAATATCTTCTGGAACTCAACCTTTCAAGTAGCTAGGGTTACAGGCATGAGACACTGGCGCATGGTTGAAATAAAGAAATATTCCTCATAATTCATTGTAAAATTAAACACAAAGGAAAACTAATACGAATTGTGAGTCCAAATCACTACCTATAGGTGTTAACAACATACATTAGTATTGTCTTGTATTAGAAGCCATTGATTTCTCTGAAAATCTGTACAAATGTGAAATTATTGTTGTTTTCAGACTTGTTTCCTTACATGCTAGTCACAGCAAACTCATTTAATTTTCAAAAGTGTCAAATCCTGCTCTTCCTCCCCCAACCCCCTCACAGCTCAGCAGTTACCAATTTTCTCTGCTAAAAATGTTTCCTCCAAGTTCCTTTTCAGGTTCATCTTGTTCATGTTTCAGCCAAAATACTGTCTTCAAGGAGAACTCTATTTCTTAACTATCTAACAATATAACATCATTTTACTGTCTTACAACTGAAACTACTCTACATGATGTCATCCCATTTTTATCAAAGGTATAGAGCACCTATTATTATTGTTGTTTTATTCATCTGTTGATTTGCTGTATGTCTCTATCGAAATAAACTCATTACTAATCTCTACCACAGGCTTCATGAACGTATCCTAACTTGCAAACTGGCAGGCATTGGACCAATAGTAGCTGAACAAATCGCGAGTAGACAGTTTAGCTGCCGAAAAACCATTCAAGGCACCTGTGTCATTTCTCTTAACTGCTTTAATTTTCTTTATTACTCAAAATTTATTCCTGCAATTCTCCCACAACTATAAGGATGTGTTGTATTGTTCAAGTTTACCCTTTCTCCCATTGGGCCTGGAGGACCAACTGTTCCTGGATCACCTCGAGGACCTCTTTTGCCTTCTTCACCTGGTGGGCCTATTGGGCCCTGAATACCATGTGGCCCCTATTAAAACAGAAACACAGTTACCAGGAAAGAACTATTTGACAAATGAGATGTAGTTGGAAGACTCATGTAATAAACTTGTTAACAACGTTTAAAGTGTATTAAATAAACTATTTCATCCCAAGCTATTATGAATTCTATTTATTTTAAACCTGAGAGAATACTGAGTTGTATGCTTCTAAACAATATTGATTATCTTATCATTAAAGCAACAAATGCTTACTGGTTCTCCTTTGGGTCCAGCTTCTCCTTTGAACCCTGGAACTCCTGGATCACCCTAAAATAAGAAATTAACAGTTATAAGAACTCAGGGCATTTGTTAGGAAATAGAAAGACTTGGAAAAAACATTAAGTAAAGTAAACCAAACCCAAAGAAACATGGGTCCCATGGTTTCCCTTATTTGCAATAACTAATACATGTCTAAGGTCAAAATCTATGTACATATGACCATATAAGATGATGTTAAGCGAAATGAACCTCAAGACAAGTGTTTTTTTTTCCTTCTTGCTATTGTTTTTAATATACTTACAATGCACTATGCTATTCTCTTGTTTCTTTTGTATGTTTTTCCTTCATGGTATAACCCCTGTTTTCACTGTATCTGATTCTGGTGTCCTGCATCTTTTATATGCACTTTTATAATTTGGGGAGGGAAAGGGATATAAAAAAAATGCTTAAATAAGGATACAGGTTGGTCCATTGTAACAATGAGATGTACAAAACACTATGTTGAAAATGAACTTTACAACTTGGGGGTGGGGGGCGCGGGAGGAGTTGGAGAGATGGGGAGGGAAGGAATGGTAGGAGAAAGTCAAAGGAGGAGATAACAATCCTTGATAGGAAATGTACTCATTACCCTACTCATGTAACTGTAACCCCTGTGTACAGTATTTTTACAATAAAAAATATACATATGGAAAAAAACAGATGCCAAAACCTAAAAGCAAAAACAAAAAGAACTAGGGGCAGTTCAATTAGCTCTAGGTAATTAATATAAACCTTAATTTTTCAGCAATTGAATTTTCTCTAAATTATTAGTACAATGAAATCATTATATGCTTTGCAAATATAAAGGATGTGTGAATTTTTATAAAATATGGTGTGATTTGGCAACAGTTTATTTTATAGTGGTCTTCAAGGGAGACAATTTTTTTAAGCATTTTGTTTTTTCATGCATGCAATAATAATTAGAATTACTCAGTTATTTGAATCTGACAGCCAAAATTAGGTCAATGACATAGATTACCTAGCATTCATTATATGGCATATTCCTTAAAAGCATTTATCAGTATGATCGAAAATACTTGAAACACAATCCAAAATATCTGTTCAAAGTAGTAGTGGAAAGGAAATATCTTTACTGATATCAGACAAAGTTACATAAGCACAACTTCTAAATATGTTATGATCATATTATTTAATGTGAAAACATTAATGTGTAATACATTGTAATAATATCCAACTTAGAGTTTAACCATCTAAATTACACATTAACATTTAACATTCACTTTACAATTCTTTCAACCAGTTCCCTCATTAGGTTAAGTTACATTATCTACGATGCATTCATTGTATCGCTTTACATGATATTTCTCTGGGTACTCTTAGTTGGGTTCTACTAAAGAATAATAGTTCTATAAGTTGATGTTAGGCGAAATGAACCCCAAGATAAGGACTCAAATTTTTTTCTTTCTTGCTATTGTTTCTAACATATTTATAAGGTATTTCTTTGTTGCTTTGTGTATCCCTCCCCCACAGTATAACCCCTGTTTTCACTGTATTTGATGTTGGTATAATTTGTGGAGAGGAAGGGAAAAAACAAATTGTTTAAATAGGGATACAGGTGGACCCATTGCAACAATGAGATGTACAAGACGCTATGTCGAAAACGAACTTTACAACTTTGGCGCGGGGGGGGGGGGGGGGGGGGGGGATGGGAAGGGGAAACGAAGGAGGAGGTAACAATGCTTGATAAGAAATGCACTCGTTACCTTGCCCATGTAATTGTAACCCCTCTGTACGGTATTTTCACAATTAAAAAAGAAGAAGAAGAAGAATAGTTCTTTGTAAAAGACATTACCGGCTGCCCTCGAATTCCCTGAGGTCCAGTGCTGCCCTGAGGGCCAGGGGATCCGGGAGGCCCTGACAAGCCAGGAGGACCAGAGGTCCCTGCGGAGCCCTGATGGAAAGCAAGTGACATAACGATAAGATATGTAGATAGTAAGCTACAGCCAATATCCAAACGATTGTTTCCCTCTGAACCTCATGTGGCATAAAGACAGTTACTTACCGTGGGGCCTTTGGCACCTGGGGTACCATCAGTTCCCATTGTACCCTAAAAAGTAAATAAAAAAGTATTGAAGTCTGAACTTCTATCCGGTACCACGTGGGGGGTATGTGGGAAGCTGTGGTGATGTGGGGCTGTATTCCTGCGTTTCTTTCTCTCACAAGAGCAGGAATAAGAATAGTTTAAAAAAAAAGAAATATCCATTGTTATATCATAATACTTTTGTGACTAGTTGCCTTTTCTATAAAATAGATAAAACATGAAGGAAACATGGGACATTTTTTTCTTGTGAGTTTTAACCACTCATTCAGAATTCAAACAAACATAGGAAAATAAATTGCATTTGTCAGATGTTATAAGCTAATGTCTCCCTTTCTGGGCTAAATTCTTAGAAATCTGAGAAACTTACAGGAAGGCCTTGAGAGCCTGCTGGTCCTGGAGGCCCTGTTTCACCTCTCTGTCCCTGGGGACCTTCAGGACCTCTTGCCCCAGTGGGACCCGCTTCTCCCTAATGGAGGCAAAGGAAAGATTAAGAAACATATGAGTGTTATAGTAAAGACCTGATTTCTCCCATAGTGAAGGACTTTGGGTTTGTTGTTTTTTTGTTTTTGTTCTGGTTGTATTGGAGATTGAACCCAGTTTGCTAGACAGGGTCTCTCCCACTTGAACTACATCTACAGCAGAACTTTATAGGAACAACAGAATTATAGATAAAAACAATCACCCAGGAATTTTATGGTGGCTGGGCTAGGGGAGGGGGTAAGGAGGTAAACAGAAAAATAGTTTCTGGGAGAGGTAATTCTGCTACCTGTTTGAGTTTTACTAAAGAACATTTAGTAGCTAAGAACCAATCTTACAATGATCTAGTAGTATAAAGTAGAATCCACAATCAATGATTGTATAAGCAGTGGTTGCCAAGAAACTTAGTCGTTTTAAACTCTAAGTAAGAGCACAAACTCCTTTCTGTTAACTAATAAGACTAAGCTTATTAAGTATTTATTGTTTTCTTCTTTTCCTCTCAAAGCTATTTGTGGAGATTGTCATAGGAAAAATGAAAGAATTATGCATATTTGTATCACGATATATTTAGTGATTGGGGAAAGAAGTGGTGTTATTAAGATCTGTAGTGTAGGGCTAGACATAGAACTCTGCATGCTTAGCATGCGGGAGGCACCAGGTGCAATCTGAAGCACCACAGATAAAGGAAGGAAAGAGGAGAGGGAGAAAAGAAGAATGGAATGAAATAGAATAAGACACACAGGAAGAGGAGGAAGAAAAAGAGAAATAGAAGAAGAATGAGGTGGGGACTTGGACTTCAGGGAACAGATCAGAGAGGGAAGGAAAAGGATTCTCCATGAAGGGATTGAAAACTAGGATATCATTTTATAGTAACCCCTTTCTTGTGGTACAGAGTTTACAGACAGCATTCAAGAGCGTGTATGATAATCTGGGTGAATGGTTCTCATGTTTCAAAGAGTATTAGAAATGTCAGTTTCTTTACATTTCCAGGTCCAAACTCAATTTGAATAGCACAAGTAATAAAAAGAGAGTATATCGTGAGGATACCCACTGCATTATGTACTCTGCTACAGATTAGCATAGATGATTTTACTTACACAGAATTCCCTGAGAAGACAAAGCTCAGAGGGGTCAGAGGGCTGCCATAGCCACACACACATTTTCCTAAGCCTGAATCTGACAAGGAAACTCCTTTAGGATGAAGGGGCACAGAGAGTGAAAGGCATTCCAGCTTTGTTGCTTAAAATTCATTGTCTTATCTGATATAATATCTTTCTACTGTGCTCCTTGAATGTTTTCCCCAATGTACTGAGAAAAAGAACAAATAGTGACTCTACAAATGCAATGGAAGCAGAAAACCCATTCCCACATGGGAAGCCAGTGACCTGACTCACTCTGCTGGCTGCAAAGGGAATGTGAGGCTCTGATGGCCTGCACTGTGTGAAAGAGCAGTTTTATTTCAACCTCCTATTGTTTACTACATTCTGCTGTTGGTTATTCACTGGCACTCTTTCGCAGAACAGAGTTCCAACTTGGTTCAAAACTTTTATTTCCTATAGTAGTTTCATTTGTTTGGCTCTAGAGTCCACAAATTCTTTGGTATTAGAACCTTTGACTAAAGTACTTTTGCTATAATAACAGATTATATGTTTTGTCCCCCTATCATCACATGTAAAGGAACTATTACTCTAAGGTGTTTCTTTATGAAAGTATAACTTTCATACTTTTCAACTAATAATGAATGTTGAAGAACATTACAATCAAGTATCACTATATATGTCACTGAGTTACCTTCATCCCAGGATTTCCTGGAAAGCCTGAAGAGCCAGGTATCCCAAGAGGACCCTATTAATCAAAACCAGAAAAGTAATCAGACATGCATTTAATCCATATCTAATTAAGTCATTTTTTTCAACCTCTGGCAACAATCTATATTTTAAACACATAGGGATAATCTGTTTAGTCCTTTAAATCACAAAGATAATTTAATGTTATTTTGATTACCTTTCAACATTTAATCTAATAAAGTAACGTTCAAAGATACTCAATAGAAGGGAACATAGTAATTGAGTTTCCTAATTATCCCAAATAAAGTTAACTCAGTCACAATTCAAAACAATTGCCCCCTGAGAAAAGTACTTCCTCTTTGTTAATCAAGTGAGAAGTTTATAGAAAGCTATATTTTTACAAAACTTACTGCATCATTTTTATAAAAGTGATTCCTAGGAAACTTCCAGATATTTCTTCAGGCAGTGACAAGAGGTTATTTATCACTGTACTACATTTGGAAAGACATACAAATAGTTCATAGTGTGTACATAATTGATTTAAAAGCTTGATTTAAAGGAAATGACTTTAGGAATCCTATTCTAAGCCACCCTGGTTCTTCTTTGAGGACTGTATTTGAAAACCATCAGTTTTGAATTAATAAAAGGTCTTTCAGAGTATAGGACTTATTTTTGTTCTATATTTTGTTTCATTTTTATGAGTAATAATGGAAAAACAATCCGTATGACAAATAATGACAATATAATTCTATTTTATTTTCCACATATAGGAAAAAAGATCTTAAGTTATTTTTCTTTGATAATCCTTCAGCATTATGCATGTTTTGTCCTGAATTACTTTTCTCTATATCTCTATCTCTCTTTTCTCTGTCTCTCTTCCCCTCTCTCTCTGCCTTTTTCTCTCTGTGTATGCTTCTCTTTCTCCTCTCTTTCTCTATTCTGTTTTTATTAATACAGATAGCATTATTTGTCTTGTGTAGCTTGACTCAACTTTTCCCATTTGAGCAAAATAAAATGTTCCATGGACAATGTAGCCAGGATACCTATACTATTAGCTTATTAGGAACCAATGATTTCTAGATGTCATTTTATCTTTCTTTACAAAACCAAAGTACTACAAAAGAAATCCTTTAATTTCATATGGGAAAACAAATACATGAATCAACTATTCCATAGAAACTATTCCACAGAAAGATCATTACATTTTTAGGCTATTTAAAACCATTAATTCAACTTCGTTTTCCTGGTACCATGATGATTTAAGGGTTTTTGAAGAATCAGAGTAGGTATTTTGATTCTCCACTGCATCTCCATAGGTTTCTTCTTCTTCTTTTTAATGTAAAGGTGATATACAGAGGGGTCTCAGTTACATAAGTCGAGCAATGAATACATTTCTTTTTTGAACAGTCAGCTTTTTGTCACTTTTTAGCTTGTTTTCTCCCAGTTTTATCCTTTTTTACCCCACAAATTGTAAGTTCATTTTCAACATAGTATCTAGTGAGTATCTGCTTAATTAGTTCACCCTTTGTCCCATCATCCATAGGCTTCTTAAGATCATTTATACCATTGGTACCAAAGCAGTTAATATGCAACTGAGGCAACTATTCAACTATTGCAAGAAAGGGACAGACCGAAAAAGCAAGAGATGTGTCAGAAATGTGGCAAATTATACTTTTTTCCTTTCTGATAACTTACTACTAATCGCTTAATATATGTTCAGATTTTTTTATGGCCCTAGGGCTTGAACCTAGGCCCTGGCCACTATCCCTTGGCATCTTTGTGCTCAAAGCTAGTGCTCTACCACCTGAGCCACAGCACCAAAGCACCATCTCTGGCTTTTTCTGAGTATTTTATTGGAGCTAAGAGTCTCACAGACTTTGCTGCCTGGATGGGCTTCAAGCTGCAATCCTCAGAGCTCAGCTTCCTGAGTAGCTAGGACTATAGGTGTGAGACACTGGTGCCCAGCTCAGATTTTTTAAAGTATGAATACTAACGTTTAGAATTTCAGAAGTCACTTATACTTTGGGAATAAATGGAACAAAACGTAGGAGTGTTGCTGATACTGAAATAAAAATTAGAGTGCAGGAAATATTAGCATTCCTTGACAACTTCTTGTTTCTCATCTCATATTATACTTCTACTACAATAGCTTTATTGATTGCCTATAGACTATAAATACCAAGGCTACTTCAAATCTCTGCTCTGAGTCCCACACTGATATATCCAATAACAAAATTGAACTGATTTCTTCATACTTTAACCCCAAATTAACAAATCATGGTTTTTCCTCTTTATGTATTCCCAAGTCTAGATAAACTAGATCATCCACCAAAGTCCTCAAACCAGAAAATGAATACAATAAGGCTATTAGACATCCTTAGCAATCTGCTTCCATTAACACTGTAATAATTTTAGTTCATATCTTTATACTTTTCCATTAGGCTTCTCCTTATAATATTCACATTCAGTTTTTTTTATGAAAATGGACAATTACTAGCAGATGTTCTATCTGGTCATGACATTCCTATGATTATGGTCTTTCAATAATCACTACAAGAATAAAGTGAAAATCTCATTAACATAGTAAGTATGGTCCTTCGCTATCTCTCTAGCTCCTGTTTGCCATTCCAATTCCATCCTCCTAGCTTTCCCTCAACAAGTCATGATTTATTCACCTATCCTCCTCCCATGGATGAAAGAATGCTCTGGTCCATTTTTATATATTACTTTTTCAATATTTAACCTGAAATGTTCTCATTCTGTCTTCCTTTATACCCTTCTCATCTACAGGTTTAGGCATTCTCCCCTATATTTCTATACTTCATCTATATTCTACATTATGACAATTAGTGATAGGAAAATACAATGATTTTAATTAGCATATTCAATTTTCAAAGAGAAGAGATTTGTTTACTATGTTCTTTACTCCAAGTGTCTAAAACACAGGGGTTGCTCTGAAATTTTTGTAAATGTAGAAATGAAGGAATAAATCAACTATATATAAATCAACAATATAACTCACCATTGGTCCTGGTTTTCCAGGCATACCATGAGCACCTCGTTGTCCCTAATGAGAAGAGAAAAAAAAGACAAGTTGACAAGGTAAGATTATATTGACAATATTTTTTCATAAGTTACTGGCTATATAAATAATCTCTGTGTTGAGAAACAAGAATAAATGATAAGTACTGGTAAAAAAATTATTGAGCTAACAGCAATGCAATCAGACATTATGCAAACCTGTTGACGCAGTAATAAACATATCTATCCTTATAGTAACAAGAAATAAAAATCAAGATTAAGAAAACGAAGCTGATATAAATTATTCTGTTTTACTTTAATATGTCAGCTGTGGTCAAGTGAGCTCAGAGATGAGACTTTGAATCTTAGACTTCTTAACTGCCAGATTAATCAAAGGAGGAACATTCTCATATAAACAAACAAAAAAAGCACCTGTACACACAGAAATTAACTTGTAATGAATTCTTTAGGTTTTATCCAGATCCTGTTCAGAACTAAAGGATTCATTCTTCAGCTGAAAGTGCTTGTTGCTAAGGATCCTCAGTTAAAATTCTTGCTGGAACTACCCTCTGTTAAAAAAGCTAGTTTCTCCAAAGTTTTGCCCTCCCTTAGATGGATGATGGAGTACAAATGATTGACTTCCATCCAAGGCAAATCTGTAGAATTCCATAATCCCCTAGGGATTTATGGAGGACTCTGTTACAACAGAAACACATTTATTTCAGTGTCTCCACTTGGTCACATTACCTGCTTCTTTAATTCATACTTTCAAAAGTAGAATTTGTAACAGTACTCCCAAGTCCATTTTGTGGATAGTAGTAACTGACTTGAATCCATTGTCTTGGAAAAAGACCCAATGATCATTGGTACCAGAACTAACACAAAAACAAAGACTTTAAATTGGATCTTTTAAAGATGGGTTCCTCACTGATCAACTGGTGATCAGTGGAATAGGAAGTCACTTTTGCACAATGTGGTAATGCAGTGGTAAATATTGTCTCTAAAGATGAACTGAAATAGAACAGAAGTATAAGGTAATGGACTAGGGATATTATGGCTCAGGCATTTCAAAAGGCTTAGGGAAAACAGTAACTATAAATGTGATAGAATTTCATGAGCCTTGAGTATATCTATTGGAAAAAAAGATATTAAAAGGATGACAATGACTGAACTTGGGTAAGGACTAATGTATACTACTAATTCTCTTAATATCTCTCGGGATGTCAAGCTATACTAACTAATAATTTAAATTTACATTGAGAAATAGGTGACATATGTTAAAGGCATATCCTCATTTAAAATGCATGTGTCACCAGCAAAATTGAAGGAGGTGAACTCCACTTTCCAGCACCATACAAAGAAGCAGGCATACTTACAGGAGCACCTTGTGGCCCAAGTCTCCCCCTCTCTCCTGGCATTCCTCTCGGGCCCTGTGAATGGCAGACAAGAAAGAACATCTCTTGAAGCATTTAACTTGAATTCTTGGCCTGGTTTGACTGAGATGCTATAATTAGCTACCAACATCAACCTCTCTAGCAGCAATTTGAGGTTTGCAAATCTGTGAAGATACCTACCCTACCTCTCTTGTATAACTAATTTCATTTCATTTGGATACAATAAGCCAAATGTACAAAGCTACTGTATGATTACTGTGCATGCAAAAATAATGGCATTCAATAGTTAAGAAAAACAGTGATTACAGGAAGGACCCTCTTTTATTCTAAGGGCTCAATTCTCTTGGTTCACTGTAAGTAATCAAGATTATTTCCATAGCTAACATATATTCCCTATGCCTTTTTAATATTTTCATTCCAGCTTTCTGTTTATGTAAAAACCAAAGAAAATAAAAGCCAAAGAAATAAATATATGCCTATATGTATCACAATAAAACATTTTTGTATAATTTATTCTAATAAAAATATTGACAGAAAAGAAATATTGGATTTGTCTATCTGACAGTTTGGATTCATAAATGTGTAAGATTATGATTTGACACTTAAAATCACCTTTCAAAAACAAAAAGAAAGGAAGAATTGAAACTTACCAGAGGACCCATAGCACCCATTGGACCAGTAGGACCAGCCTCACCCTGAGTGAAATTGAGATAACATTCACTTTGAGAAATTAAAATTGATATTAGCATCATATTGCTTTTTAGGGGCAGTAGAAAGGTTCTTCAAATGAAAGATCTAATCATTTTGCCAATTATTATTATCATCAATATTTTTCTTGAAATAAAATCAATTTAGGGACCACTTATGTGAGGTAGAAATCATGTGGATCATGGTTCAAGACTAGTTCAAAGGAAAAACTTAACGAGACACCATCTCAACCAAGAAGCTGAGCATAATACCCAATGAATGTCTCAGCTAATGGGAGGAATATGTAGGAGGACTTAAATCAGAAGTAAGTGCCTAAGCAAAACCACAAGATTCTATCCAAAAAAAACAGATGAAAATAAAAGGGACTGAGGGCATGACTCAAAAGGTAATACCCTTAGGTGCCCCTCAGTAGATGAATGGATCAAGAAGATGTGGTATATATACACAATGGAATTCTATGCCTCCATCAGAAAGAATGACATTGCCCCATTTGTTAGGAAATGGAAAGGCTTGGAAAAAGTTATATTAAGTGAAGTAAGCCAGGCCCAAAGAAACATAGGTCCCATGGTTTCCCTTATTTGCAATATCTAGTATAGGTATGAGTCAAGCGGAAAAAGTCAGAGAATGTGATGTTAGGAAAACGAACCCTCAAATATGTATTTTAATGTTTTTGTTTCATTCATGCATGTGTTTCTAACGCATTTATAATATTATTTCTTTGTTGCTTTGTATGTCCCTCCCCCACAGTGTAACCCCCGCTTTCACTATATTTGATGTCAGTATAACATGTGGAGGAGACGGGGACAAACAAGTCGTTTAAGGATTCAGGTGGACCTGTTGCAACAATGAGAAGTACAAAATGTCATGTCAAAACCAGCTTTACAATGTCGGTGGGGGGGAGGGAGGGGGGGTATGATTGGGTGGGGGGGAGGGGGGAGGCTGGGAAGGGAGGTGAAGGGTAAACAAAGGAGGAGGCTGCAATGCTTGGTAAGAAATGTATGCATTTTCCTGCCCATGTAATTGTAACCCCTCTGTACAGTATGTTTTCAAATAAAATAAAAAAAATAAAAAAAAAAAAAAGGTAATACCCTTGTATAGCAAGCACAAGGCCCTGATTTCAAACTCTAGTACAATAAATAAATATTTACACATTGAAATAATTAAATTCTATAGAAATAAGTCTAAAATAAATCTATGAATACAGTATCAACAAGATCAATGGAAACTATGATACCCAGCCAAGAAAGGAGCCAAATGCCTAGTCTGATTAAGCTCAAGTAAAATTCTACAAAGCTGAAAGTTAGTATAATATCATAAAAGCTCATTTTAAAATAAAACACTTTCCCACATATGTATATCATGGTGTTTCCCACTATAACTTCAGTTTCACTCCCTTGGTAAGTCCTATCCTTTGAGGAATAAATCAATTTGGGGAAGACAAGATACTTCAAATTTCCCAGAATTGAAAGGCTAGTAAAATGTAGGGCAGTTTTTTCTCCCACTTATTTATTTATACCCTCCTTTCCTCCGGAATTATTTAAGATACTTCTGAAAAACATGCAGGCTCATGAAACAGAATCTAGGTGTTTCATGAGGTCAAGTTTAGATGTTCCACATTTACCTTGGAACCAGTTGCTCCAATTTCACCTTTGGGGCCTTCAAGACCTTTATGTCCCTGAAAAGAAATTGTTTGATACAGAAACAATTTAATTCTTCAGATAAACACTTGTATTGACTTTAGAGTAAACACATAGTTAAAGGGTTCATATAATTAGAAAATATGAGCTACATCCACAGGTAAATTCAACTGCAATTGGTTTTCTGAATCCACAACTTCTACATGGATGGATTCTATCAGCAGGGAATTGAAAATATTCAAAGAAAATGTAACTTTTTTATAGCATGTACTCTAGATGATGGTTATTTCTGTACTAAAAATTTACAGAACTTTTCTATTTACTATTCTCCAAACAATAAGTATAACAGCGATTTACTTAGCACTAATCTTACAGTATGGATTCTATAACTATCCTAAGTATAAGAATAACCATAAGTATATGGCAATATTTGCATAAATTATACACAAATACTGTGGCACTGTATGTGAGGGGCCAGAACACTGATACATCTGGGGATTCCTGTGGAGGTAGGGGATCCTAGATCTAGTTCCTGTGGATGCTGAGGAACAGCTGCATTTTGTAACTAGTACAATAACACATATTCTGATCTTAAGCTTAACCACTCAAAATGGAGACGTATCCCTGAATAGTAATTGAAGATAAGCCTTGCTTTCGGAGAAAGATAAACTAGAGACCAAGAGAGGGATTTAACGTGTTTACACAATATGTAATAGTTATATATTAAATATTCTGAGTTATAGCCGAAGCACTCTGTTGCCTTCCAAGTCTGTGTTGACCAGGCATGTTCTGCAACCTCGTACACACTTCTTGAATCATGTCACACATCACATAGCTGAAGCAGCAGGATAAACTTATCTCATTTGTGTATTGTCTTCTTTAGCACAGTATCCAGTACATGGCAAGAACTCAAATTATTTTTCTATAACCCTAAAAAACATTTTCTAAAGATTCGAAATTCAAAACAAATGTAGAAGATCACTGTGATTTCAGCTGACGAAGGGGGTCATACAGACCCCTTTCAAAGGGATCCCTTGCCAGAACCAACTCCGTAAACCACAGTGTCTTGAGAGGCTTACAGGGGACTCAACTTACCCGGTGACCTTTCAGGCCTGGAAGACCAGGAGCCCCAGGAAAACCTCGAGCTCCCTGGAGAAAAGAACAAATAGATGAGATATTATTGAGTCACTATAGGAAGAGGAAACAATATACTTTTTCCTAAAAAATTAGCTGACACACAGCTTTTCACCAAGAAACTAAAGAAGAAGAAAAAAAGAACAGTATATTTCATCTGTCAGAATATCTAGGAGATCAAAACTTTGCAAAGTAAAACATTGTTAAAAATGGAAATGTAGCCGAATGTAGCTCACGCCTGTAATCTTAGCTACGCAGGAGGCTGAGAGCTGAGGATCACGGTTCAAAGCTAGCCTCAGCAGGATAATCCATGAGACTCTTATCTCCAATTAATCACCAGAAATCTGGAAGTGGCACTGGGGCTCAAATGGTAAAGCTAATGAAGAGCTCAGAGACAGTGCCCAGTCACAGAGTCTAAGTCCTCTGACCAACCAAAACAAAATGGAAATGTGAACACATAATAGAATTATGACTTACAAAAGGATATAGATTAATGCTAGCTACTGATATGATGATATGTGCTACTGATTTTCAAATAATTTAAAAATTTTAAATGGTATCATTGCTATTATTAGTTAGAAACAACTAAAACAAGAAAACTAAAACTAAGACTCTGCAAAGGTTTAAGGTTTAAGGAAACAATTCAGAGAAAAATTTAAGTGAAAATATACTGTATTTCCTTTATATTATGCTTCAGGGTAAATAAATACATATGTACAAAGCCATGATTTTTATTTCTTTTTTATTATTTCTGATATTGGCAGAATCCTAATATTATTAGGATTTTTTAATTTTTATTTTTTATTGTGAAAATACTGTACAGAGGGGTTACAATTACATGGGCAAGATAGTGAGTACATTTCTTATCAAGCATTGTAGCCTCCTCCTTTGTTTACCCTTCCCATCCCTTCCCATCCTCCCCCCCCAACCAAACCTCCCCCCCCCCAAGTTGTAAAGTTTGTTTTCGACATGACAACTTGTACTTCTCATTGTTGCAACAGGTCCACCTGTATCCTTATTTAAACGACTTGTTTTTCCCCTTCCCCTCCACAAATTATACCAACATCAAATACAGTAAAAGCAGGGGTTATACTGTGGAGGAGGGACATATGAAGTGTTCATGACAGCCTATGTGGACTTAAAATTCTTAACAAACACAGGGCTGGGAAGGTGGCTCAGTGGTAGAGCACTTGCCTTGCATGCCTGAGGCCCTGGGTTCGATTCCTCAGCACCACATAAGCAAAAAGAAAAAAGCCAGAAGTGGTGCTGTGGCTCAAGTGGTAGAGCATTAGCCTTGAGCTGAAGAGCTGAGGGACAGTGCACAGACCCAGAGTTCAGTCCCCATGACTGGACCCAAAGAAAATTTTTTTTAATTAAAAATTAAAAATAAATCTTAACAAACAAAACAAAAAATAAAATACCCAACAGAAACAAAGGCAAGAAATAGACCGATGGTTTAGTTTCTTGATTCAGTCATTTCTAAATTTCTCTTACCTAATCATATTATATGAAACACATAGAAATGCCTTAGAAAATCAAATCCAGTGAAATGATTATTTCAAAATGATCCTTGAAGTATTTCTTTATACTCTTTTAAAACTAATTATGAACCACTGGCTTATATGCTTTTTCTCATTGCTACATTAATTTGGCTTTATAATGAACTAATATTACTACTGCCACCAGTAAAATTTGGATCTTTATAACACAGATTTGAAGTATCCTTCATATTTTTCACCCTTAGCTTTATATTTGATGAATAGTCAGTCAATGGATAATCATTGGATAAATAAGTGAAGAAGGAATGTCTTTGTACTTCACATTCATACAGCTGATGACCTGAACCTATCCAAAAGACCTTCTAGTACAATCTCACATATATAAGGAAATAATTTTACTCCATATATTACAGCCTTACTCACTATTTACTACATGAATGAATTAGCAACTCAATAAATGAAACTCATAAGGTAAGATCAAAGCAATACTTCCTCTTTGAATTCTTGCAGGGAAAACATTTAATGCTTTGAAAGTATCCCAGTAAAGTGCATCAAATCAGATCTTTGAACAAATAAAGTTCTACTAATTCTTCTGTTTATATAACCATGTTTAAGAATTCTTTCAAGTTAAGAAATTCCTTCAACTTTCCTTTTTTTTCTGTATTCCTGTTTACTGAGATTATTCTTCCTTCCCCCATAAACAGGCAAATCAGTGCACACCCACCTAGGCTTACGGGGGAATTAGTGAGCTATGTTATTTAGTTTTTATGCTCTGTGAGGAAAATTCTCTGGTGATTACACATCCCTAGTATAACAAGAAAATGATCCAGATGTACAAATGCTCATAAAGAACTCGCGTTCTGCTGACCCAGGACTGTCATCACGGTGCAATCACATGCCGCTGCACTGAGTTTGCAGAGAGCATCTGTGCTGTGCTGGCAGGGCACCTTTTCTCCCTGTGGAGGACCACACTGTGAGTGTGTGTGAAAATACAACAGGCCATGGGAGGCTCAAGCCTAGAACTGCTGAAAAGCACATCTGTGCTCATGGCTACACTTCATGTTTTTGTCTGACTTTATTTCCCAGGCTGATGGGGAGAGGAGAGGGAGCAGGGATAAGGGGAATTGGCCTGATATTTCAAACAAAGTAATCCATACAACTCTGAAAATCTCTGTTAAAGTTAAATGTTCATTTGTTTAAAAATATTCTTAACATGAAACTCATCAGTTTTCAATAAGTAAACTGAGAGTAATGTAGTAAAACCAATACTTATGCATAGTAGTAGAAACATTACAGAACTGCAAATAAGGGAAACCATGGGATCTATGTTTCTTTGGGCCTGGCTTACTTCACTTAATATAATTTTTTCCAAGTCTTTCCATTTCCTAACATATGGGGTAGTGTCATTCTTTCTGATGGAGGCATAGAATCCCATTATATATATATATATATATATATATATATACATACATATACATATATACATATATACATATATATATATACATACATATATATATATATACACATACATATATATATATGCCACATAGTCTTGATCCATTCATCTACTGATGGGCATCTGGGTTGGTTCCATATCTTAGCTATGGTAAATAATGCTGAGATAAACATAGTTGTGTTGGTTGCTTTAGTATAGCCTTGTTTGTGATCATTGAGGTAAATGCCCAAAAGTGGGATTGCTAGGTCATAGGGGAGCTCTATGTGGAGTCTTCTGAGGAACCTCCATACTGCTTTCTAAAGTGGTTGAACAAATATATGTCTAGGACAAGCAGAAAAGGTCAAAAGCTGTGTACATATGACCATATAAGATGATGCTAAGCGAAATGAACCCCAAGATAGGGACAAAAGTGGTTTTCTCTTTCTTGCTGTTGTTTTTAATGTATTTATAATGTAACATGGGATTTTTTTTGTTTCTTTTGTATGTTCTTCCCTCATGGTATAACCTCTGTTGTCACTGTATTTGATACTGGTGCCCTGGACCTTGTATATACATTTTTTTTAATTTGAGGAGGGGAAAGGAAATAGTAAAGTGCCGAAATAAGGATACAGGTTGACCCATTATAACAATGAGATGTACAAAACACTATGTTGAAAATGAACTTTACAACTTTGGGGATGGGGGAGTTGGGGAGGTGGGAGGGAAGGGATGGTATGGGAAAAATCAAAGGAGGAGGTAACAATGCTCAATAGGAAATGCACTCATTACCTCAGTCATGTAACTGTAACCCTTCTGTACAGTATTTTTACAATAAAAATATATACCAAAAAGAAACATTAGGGAACTATAGGAAAGCTAGTAATATGAAGATTGAACCAGCTTAGAGACCTCTAGACAGGAGAAATCATAATAGGAAAACAGTAATAGGAAAAGCTGCAAGAAGATTTTTGTTTGCTTATCATTCTCTAATTTGCCCCCATTCCAGTGTAGCCCCCCCTTAGGGTGGCTTAGGTCCTGTTGTCCCAGAACTATTCCTTCAGTAAAGTCAAGGAGAAGGGGAACAGATGTTAGGAAGCCTGGCAATCAGTGAATCTTCATAATAAGATTTTGTAGTCAAGAATAAAAAAATTCAGTCAACATTAGGGACTGAGAGCAAGGAGGAAATCTGTCTACAGTGTCTTATCCCTAGCTGATTTTTAAAAAACCAACAAATTCTCTCACACATGAACATGACTGGGGTGTTATGAATTGTAAATAGGTCAGGCTGATGACTCCTGAAAAAAATCTTATTTTCTACAAATTGGATACTCAGTTTAAAGAGTATTCATGTTTGGTAAATATGTAATATTAATTATATGGTGCTACTGAAGATCAGGAAATTGGAATCAGCTATAAATCTGGCAAAATGTCTTACCATACTTTACATTTTGACAGAGGAGAACACTACATAGCTGTCACATTTACTTAATGTCTAAATGCACAAGCACATGATAAATGCAGAATGAATTTCCACGCTCTCCACTTTTTAAGTGTGCTTTATATTATTGTATAGATGAAGATTAACTTACCGGCGATCCTGCAAATCCTACTTCACCAGTATTTCCATTTCTTCCAGGTTCACCCTGTATGGAAAAAAATGAGGAGAGTGGGTACAGAGAAAGTAAATGTTTATA